AGCCAAAAATCGAAGGAAACAATTCAAAGATCAAATTCAAAAATTTAGAGGAAAAGACGAGGAAGAGAAATCCTTCACCAATCTACCTTTTTAGAGTCTAATTGGAGCTTAAACAAGTAATTTAACCTCACCTACACCACAAGCATGCTTAATTTTAAGTCAATTTCATGTTTAATTGATTGATTTGATTTAATTGCTTAATTAAGAAAAATTAGGGTTATGGTTTTTTATGAACCCAATTTGGGGATTTTGAATTATTTCATTTAATTGGTGTTTTGACAGTTGATTTTGACTTATTTGTTCATGAATTAACGTTTAGGAAGGAAAAATTATACTTTAATTGAAGGAAAATCCACTAATTTTTAGGAATTATATTCGGCCTAAACTAAACAAATTTGGGTTTGAGTTCAAAGCAATTTAATTCTTTTTGAATGGGTCATTCACACTTGAATAAGCATTTTTTGATGAGTAGAAATGGAAAATTTGCTAAAAATTGAACAAAATGGGTTATATGGGCTTGGGCCCAATTTCGGCCCATTAGGGCCCAATACGGGTTTGGGCAGGAATTAGGGTTATAAATTTTAATTAAATTAATCCTTATAGTGATTAAATATTTAGGCTACTTTTTATTAAAATTTTAGGGCAAAACGAGAAGAAAATCTTAGGAATTTAAATGGTGAAATATTGGGCCTAAATGAGAAATTTTGGAAAGTTTAAAGTAAGTTCCAAACCCGAAATTAATTCATTCAAGTGCAAAATAAGGTAAAGGGATGATTTAGAACAAAAGTGTTCATGAAAACCTAAAGAAAAATTGATTTAGGAAAAAATAGACTTTAGGCTCATTAAGGCCCAAACCAAAATCGGACCACCTAATTAATGAAATAGTGCCTAATTAAGTTAGAACATGGATTAATACCTAATTTGGTAAAGGCTAGATGCAAAAGGATAGTTAGCAACCTAAGAAAAATAATTTGAAAATGTTAAAATATAGAGTAAGTTAATGAAACGAAAATGAAATGTAATTATTTACTTAGTCTTATGCTATGATTGTATTTTCTTCCCAATAATGTGTGGAATGCAACGAATAATGAATCATGGTTATGCTTGAGTTATGATTGGTGATGAGAAATGTGGTTATGGTAACCGATGCGCCAATGTTGGTTGCACTCGCTTGATATGGGTTGATGTTATTAATGTCGTTATGTTGTTTGATTTTATACGTATTATGTATTTTCATAACATGGTTACATGATGATTTAGGGCATGCACTTGCGTATCATTGTTAGCATGCATTGTCATTCACAATGCATATGCATGCCAAAGCTCATGAATGATGTTTTAAGTCATGATAACGTATTTTATGCTATAAGTTTTCGATAACGATCGAAATTATTTTAATGAAGAGAATTTGCATGAATTTGGGTATTTTTATGAGGATGGGTTCATGGGTTTTCCATATGGTAATGGTAATGGTTCAAGGCCGGGCAAGTGTAGATGTGCACTTTTAGAGGCTCGATAAGGTGCGTCCGTGGACGAGTCGGTTTCTCCGGACATATGTGATGGAAACCTTAAAGTACCTAAATGGGACTCGTCCAAAGACGAAAAAGAATTTTCAAACTGTTTATGAAATGTTTTATGATATAAGGAAAAAGGATTCATTATGCATATCAGTTTTTTATGCATACATACACATGTACGTACGGTACATGCATACGTTAACTTACTAGGCTATAGCTCATATAGTTCCTTGTGATGTAGATAAATAAGATAATACGGCTCACTTCTCCGCGAAGCCGACTACCGAGGGAGGGATCGGACGCATATAGCTTGGATGAGGGTTTGGCTTCGGGTAGACCCATTACACGCAGTAATTGACATAGAATCGATCATGTATATAAATAGTTAAGGTTTGTAATCGAATCGGTAATAATAAAATAATAATATTATAGTAGTAGTATAATTACTTTAAATTATCCACTACATATTGATATGATTAGAAGTTTAGCAAACATGTAAAATGAAATAAATTAAATCGGATATCATGATAAATAAACGCGACATAAACGCAAAAAATTTATAGCAAAGTTGAAGTAAGAAATAGGACTCGAACGTCATTAAAAGATTTTTGCTCCGTAAATATTCTTACATACGTTACATAAGATCATAATGCCTTGTTAGCTTACATTCATTGCACTTCGAATGTGACTAACAACGGTAATATTCTCAACTTATTAGATCCTAGTTTGGGGATGTTACATTTCTATCGGGAAGAACATAGATTTTCTTCCATAAATTAGTGTCATTAACTCTTAATATGAGGGCTACAATTTTCATAAGTTTTACTAAACCACCAACTTTAGTACTTTTTCTTGAAACGAGAGACGGATGAGATCGGTGACCTCTCTTTCTCTCAGAAGGCTAAGAATAAGTATCTTGATCTTTTTTCAATAGGAATACTAGTGGAGAAATGACCCGTTAGCTTGGTGTAAAAGTCTTCAAAGTTGAAGAACTACTCCAAATCAAAATTATTATACCACTTTCTCACCAGTTTAGTATCATGTTATCATATACATTCGGGTTCATATTTTTATTAGATAAATTTCTTGAGAATTTAGCTTTCAAGATGTAAGGGCAAATGGATAAGCATAAAGCTTATAGTTGTAGCGATCCGATTTAGGTTAAGTGAAAGACTACAAGTCATTTATCTACTCACGATTGTTTGGATTTTAAGCTCATCGATGAGGTTTAGAAAGTGGAGGAGCTATCCTATTGTTAATATGTACGTCTATTTCTAGCAATGTTGTGCCTACTTCTAGCATTATGACGATATTTAATTTATCATCTTTCTCTTTTTTTCTTTAGGATTTTTGACATATTGGTTCTTTGCGTGGGCAATGAGACCGACTTCTTTGAGGTTTTAGGAAATGATTGTATTCCTTTCTATCGACACCTCTCTCGTTGTGTCCGATCATTTCTTCATCAATCAAGTGTCGATCGGCTAGTTTCAACATGAAGAGTTTGCATATGGTAAACCTTGTAATGGAGAGAACAACTCTAGAGTTGGCACATGCAAAGATGTTTGTTTTTTTTAATCGTTGATAGTGAAGTGGTCAAAGACTTTATCTCGCTCTTGAATTAATATTTAAATCTATATTAGCAACTCAATACGTCATTGTAGTTATAACAAGCATATTGATGAAGCACTAAGACCGGCAAAGTCGAATGGCGTAGATCGTGATGGAGTTTTGTGATGGTCGACCATTGAGAAGTTCATACATGGAGAAATAGAATAGTTTAAGATAAAGTTTTTGTTCAATTCCTATAAACGGTGTCACGGATGAGGTGATGATCCTCAAAATAATATTAAGGGTTTGATTGCTTTTAATTCATGTTAATTGCATGGTTGATATATCTTGTTAATTGTTGAATCGTTGGCGAGTACTTGCAAAATAAATCATTGTCTAAGTGTTTGGAAGAATCTTCAATGGCTAAGTTAGCGTATAGAGAAAGGTATTTAGCTTGGATAAATTTAATAATATTTAGCTCTTAGTAAAAGCAAATATATGATATAATATTTATTTTGAGTTTAGAATATAAAACCTATAACTCTCGGTGTGTTAATTTTTATTTAAGTAGGGAGGTGATCAACTTCAATCGAGTGCAACATAAATTGCCTTCTCTCATTATGATTAGTAACTTCTAGCATCTACTTGTTGGTTCAAGATCTCTTCTAAGTAAATATCAATGCTTAATGATGTATATGGAATTATATTTGGTGATGATATGATAATGAAATTCTAAAAAGTTATGTCTTCTTTAAATATATGCTTTTTCTTTTATCTAATTAAATGAAAGAAGTGGTGCTTTTTTTTTATTTGAATCATTCATTTGCATTGATCACCTGGACTTTACTCAGCCTATAGAGCCCCCTTATAGGTGGTTGTGATTATCCTATCAATGGCAAAATTTTGTATGAATAGTCTTAGAAAAAGCGAGAAAACACGTATTATAATCATAATCATATAGATATATCATATCTTACTTAGTTCAAAAAAGCCTCTCAAAAAAAAAAATAAATAAAAAAGACATCTTCATTGTGATTGTTTTTCATGCATTATTATCTTTATTTGTAGCTAGGTTGTTTTGTTTGTCTTTAACATACAAGAAAAATTCCGTGTGGTGATTTCTATTAAAAGAAAAAAAAGTTCCATATTCTTATCCAAAGCTCCTAATTTTTTCACTCCAACTTCTAAAGAACAACTACGGTCAAAATACAAAATTTATCGAACATCAAGTTCTCCTTCTATAATGTAATTGTTTTGAGAAATTAAGGGGGTTTTTTCCGAATTCTTCACTCCGCTTCTCTTTTTGTAGATTTTTGGTAAACTAATATATATACTTAATACCGGAAAACGACATATATAGGATCGCATAGCGCAGTGGATTAGCGCGTTTGACTTCGGATCAAAAGGTCGTGGGTTCGACTCCCACTGTGGTCGTATATTTTTCATTTTTGAAACTCCTTAATAAATGACGAAAAATTAGTTCAATTTGTTTGCGTGTTTTTCTATTTTAAGGAGAAATAATAAACGATAGCAAAAGTTGGTTTTTATATTCTTTATTTTTTACTCTCTATTGTTAGTTCCATTCGGTTAATCACTATCGGAAGCCGAAGAAGATTTTGTATTATATCAAATTTGCTACGGAAGTAGATGAAGGATTTTTATTACATCAAATTTACTAGTATAAAGGTTTATGTGGACCAAAATTAGTTGGAATGTCAATACAACTTTCCAGGCCACAACTTAAAATCCATCTCCTACTAAAGGACCATTGCATCATTTCCCTGACAGGGAAGTTGTCCACCAAATATAATTGGAGGTTGATTATAGAAAGGTTTCAATTCCAACTGTGTCATGGATAGTGAAAACCTTGCTTTCAAGTCCTCGGTCGGGTTTGTATAACTCCTTTATAAGACCGCAATTCACAAGAAGATGAGGTTACCTCCTAGTTTGCATCGCAGCAATTGTGACGGCAACTTTATCAACCTTTGGATGATTATTTTCAGTAAACCAATCAGAAGCAAGACAGAACAGGGGAGTAGATGTGGAATTCAATAAAAATCAACTCGATCAGTGAAGATGGCAGTACCAGATAGGCATATGTAGGAATACGATATCAAAACTCAATGTAACCAAAATCCAGAAATTCTGAATTTAGAGATGGAGGACACAAGTAAAGTAATCCAAGAAAAGATGCAGAAACAAAATTGTTGCTTGCGTAGCTGCACCTATATCAAACCCACTATCTAAACTTTGATTGCATACTTTCTCATTGGGAAATACATCTCCCTTTTCTTCTCACGTTCTGTCTTCAAAGATGCCTGCAGCAAAGAAAGTGGAAAACAAGAATAATAGTATAAGGATTCTGTATCCATGAATCAAACTAGACATAATGAAATCAGCACACAATGTCGCAGCTTTTTATAGCTTAAAGACGCTAAAAATGAGAACGTTTACCAAGTACAAAATAAAACCAATCTCGACAAACTTAGAACATACACTCAAAAAGAAAAACAGCAAGCAACCTGTAAATTCAATTACCTCCAAATTCTTAACATCCTCAAATTTCGAGGAAAGCAAGACCTCACAGGTATCAATATCAAGTCCCACCACTCAATAGCACTCACATTTGTTTTCCAAAAGTTTACACAAATACATCTCGTCATATACTCAATCCAATAATAATTCTGCTTCAATTCAATAGGTATTCAGTTTTTTTCATGACCTCACTTTACTAAAAGCAAAATGTACTCAGCCTCTGAGATACATACTCAAATAACATAGCAACTAATCATTATTTTGTTTAATTGTACACAAAAACTTGAAAACTAATTCTCATTTACTTATTTACAACCAAAGCAAGACAAAAATCATGAATTCTATCCAAATCAACATTTTTTAAGATTAACTATGAGCCAAAAGAGTGAAACAGTAAATATTCATAATTTCATTTGGCAAGGTAAAAAGGATCTGGTGTTGAGTAAGAAGTCTCTGAATGGCATATTCAATCACAAACATTTCCTAACAGTTCACCATATGTTAATATGTGAAAGCAACAAACATATAACTAACTATAGTTGTTTCATGTATACAAAAAGCTTCGAATTCATCTCTCACTCATTTTCTTCTTGATCACTGCAAGAAGACATACATCACAGCCAAACATTGATGTCTCTATTTTTGGGTATAGTAAATTAAAATCCAGATGCTAAAAATGAGAACTTTTATCGAGTACAAAATAAAACCAATCTTGACAAACTTAGAACATACACTCAAAAAGAAAAACAGTAAGCAACCGGTAAATTCAATTAGCTCCAAACTCTTAATATCCTCAACTTTCGAGGAAAGTGAAATCTCACGGGTATCAATATCAAGTCCCGCCCCTCAATAGCACTCACATCTATTTCTAAAAGTTTACAAAAAGCATTTCCTAACAGTTCACCATATGTTAATATGTTAAAGCAACAAGCATATAGCTAACTATAGTTGTTTTATGGATACAAAAAACTTCGAATTCATCTCTCACTCATTTTCTTGTTGATCATTGCAAGAAGTCATACACTACCAGGCACTGCTAGCTAAACCAGAAAATTCTACAAACAAGAACTAAAAGCAAAAAGATAAGCGTGACATTCAGTAAACATTAATTCGCAAGTTAAATAAGGACCTGGTGTTTAGTAAGACGTCTGCGAATGGCACGGGTTTTCTTGGGACGGAGATCAAGAGGCAGAAACTTCTTGTTCTTGTAAGCTTCCCTAAGCGCGGCTTTCTGTTTCTGTGATATCACAGTCAACACCTGCGCTATTGACAACCTTACCACCTTTCTGAACCCATTCAATTTGTATATATAAATAATCACACACAAGATTTAGCCACAATATAAAATCACTGAAACTAACACCAAAAAATAATCAATAGAAGGAGAGAGATATGATATAATTTACATCTTGGAGAGCTTGTTAGGAGCACCGCCAGTAACCTTGGCAACACGCAGCAGAGCGAGCTCTGCTTTAAGCTCCTTCAACTGGGCCAGCAGCTCTGTCTTTGACTTTTCCCTCAACTCGTGAACCTTTATCCTTGCTTTTTATGATTCCAAATAACGATTCATTTAGCAAAAAGAAATAAAATCAGTCAGAGAAAAAAAAAGATGTAAAGTTGCTTCAAGGAGGATTGGTTTTGTTACCCATTTTAAAGTTGCTTCAAGGCTCTGCTGCTCCTCCTCTTCCTCAGTTGTGTTCCTTTCAGAAAACCCTAGAAGGAAGAGAAATGGTCTTATTTGAGCATCCGCAGATGACAAATAAACGTATTGTTTCTGTGGGCTATTTAACAGTTAGGCCTAGGGATGTTAATGGGCCGGATACCCGGCCCGTTAAGTCAATCATATATGCTAATTCATTAAAAAATATTATACCCATTATCCTACTCATTATTCACTAAAAATCATTTGTCTATTTCTTTATCCAGTTTATACCCATTATATTATACATTGTTCATATCTTATCCACATCCATTTAGCCACTAATTTTTTTCTTAAATTGAAGATTTTTTTTTCAAATTTTTTTATTGACCTTTTTTCTATAAACTTTTTTTATTTAAACTCTTTTTATATAGTACGATTTTTCTATATAATTGATCATATTTATATTTTTGTGATTTATGTAGATTTAAAGGATTTCAGAATTTAATCTTTGTTAAATTGCTGCTTGAGAAAAATGTAATCTTGTCGGCCTTGTTGCATGAAATAGTATATTACTAAATGAAAGTTGCTTCATGCAAAACTGAAAACGGCAGCTAGTTTAATATTATAATAAACTAGTCACATCTTTTTTCTCGGATTAATCGATATTTTGTCATTCTACTTTTGATTTTTCTTTTTTATGTGCTATCTTTATTTTTTATTTTTTTATTTGATCCTTTTATTATAAATATTTTCTTAACGTGGTCTTTCAATAAGATTTTGGTTAATTTTTCAACAATAAATAACAGTTCGACTGACATGCTTTAAAAAAAATCAATTTCAAAAAATAATTATTTCCTTTTTTTTCAATTTCATTTTATTAATTTTTTTATTTTTAAAATTAAGTTTTTTTAACACATATCAGTATTATTTGAGGTAAAAATTCACATGTTACTTGTTTTCATAAAATTGATCGAAATTCTATTAAAGGAGTTATATTAGGAAAATATTTATAGTGAAAACACCAAATAAAAAAATAAAAAATACAACCTATATATATATATGTGTGTGTGTGTGTGTGTGTGTGTGTGTTTTATTCATCAATAAGAGAAATTACTCTTTTTTATTTATTTTAAAATTTTGTATTTTAATATTTTTTTATATTAATGGGTAAAATATGGATATTAATAAGATAAAAATAGGGTACTCATATTCATAAATAAACTATCAATTAACATAAATAGATAATATTATTTTATCTATATTTAGCTCATTGCCTATTAAAGTATTTTAAAAGGGTAATTAAAGGGTGGTTAGGTAGGGTACTTATTTTGTATCCGACCCACTTGCTATTCGTGGTTAGGCCAAACCCCAAGTAGACATTGTTTGGTATTATGCTATCATTTTATTAGGTCTGTTTAGAGGCTCGATGTACGTACTGTTTCGAGGGGATTGATTTTGTTACCTATTTTAAAGTTGCTTTGAGGATTTATTTGTTGCTACTCCTTTTCCTTAGTTGTGTTCCTTTCTAAATTTAATTTATTTTAAATAAAATAATATTTTAAAAGAATCATTTAATAATTTAAATACATGTTTTTATATTTAATATTATTGATTGTTTTATATGTGTATGTGTCTATATATCAAATGAACATGTTTTTAAAAAGTTTTAAAAGATTCATTAGTTAATTTTTATACAAAATTTTATATTGATTATTGACATATTTCTTTGATATAGTCTTGAGAAAAAAATATTAAAATATTTTTTAAAAATTTTATATTGAATTTTATATTTATATTATTGTAGGTTTTTATTTAAGAATAAATGAATAAAAAAACGAATCGTGTTTTTTATCTTATATATATATATATATATATATATATATATATATATATATATATATCTTTTTTAACAACAAAATCTATGAAAAATGTAAAGAAAAACGAATAAAATACAAAACTTGATTAGAAATTATTAAATTAAATAAAATTTTTATCTTTTATTTTTAGTTTAATATATATTTTAAAAAAAAAACTAAAAGAACTAATATATTTACTATTCATTTACTATTGTTTTAGACTTAAATTCACTATTCATTATGTTGCTTGATTTGTTGTCCTTTAGCTTTTTGTTAATTTCTCTTCTGCCACTCGATGAATTTGAGAAACTCTATTTTTACCCTTAATTGAGTCTCCTTTTAATTTTCTATTTGGGCATTTTTTTCGTCATTTCCTTTTTCTTCTTTTTTTTTTTTCAGATTAAGCATTTAATGCTCCTCTCTTCTTTCAATGTCTTTTTTTCCTTCTTATTTTCAACGAGCCTCTTGCTATTTTAGATTGATTATAAATTAGTCTCTCTTTCTTCGAGAAACAAATTAATTAGTCCTTTTGGTTCAAAAACTAATTTCTTGTCCTTTTTGCTATTTCAATGTTTTTATTTTTTGTTTTAAGAAATAGAGAAAGAATAAAAAAATATGAAAAAAATTCATAAAATAAAACAATAAATTATTCATGGTCAATACTGATTAAAAAATTCAATAATTTATTTTTGAAACCAAAAAAAATTAATTCATTCATTTCTAAACACTACTAAAAAAATTCATTCATTCGTTTTTCAAACGCGATGAACTAATTTATTATTTAATTTGTAATTTAAGAATATCTTTCATCATAAATTAAGAAGTAAGTTTTATGGGAACCAATTTTGTAGTAATTCTTATTTCAATTTATTGACTTTGATATATTCCATACAAATTAGATGTTTTTTTTTTAATTTATTTATACTATATACTCTAAATCTACTAAGTATGATAATATATATAGTTTTGTTAAAAATTAATTATGTATCTACATACATAACACCATTAGTCCATTTAGTTCAAAAACTAATTTTTTTTTTTTATCCTTTTTGCTATATCAATAGTTCTATTTTTTTTTTTTAAGAAATTGAAAAAGAATAAAAATAAGTAAAAATAAGAAAGAGAGAGCACACACACACACACATAATTAGTAAGACACACACACACACATGCATATAATTAGTTTTGTATAAATTAGTTATGTATTTGGGTACATAACATTGATTATTTATAATTTATTTTTTATATATTCTAAAATTAATATTTTTTAATAATATATATATATATATATATATATATATATATATATATATATATATATATATATATATATATATATACATATATATCGTTTTTTTATAAATTAATAATGTATTTGCACACATAACCGCATTTATTTGTTATGTATTCTTTTTTATGCTCAATAAATAAATAATTTTTAAATAAAATAATTGAAATAATATTTTAAAAAAACCTTTCAATTATTCAAATATAACTTTTTATGTTAATATTATTGATTATTTTGTTAATAAATATATATACAAACCAAAATATTTTGCTCAACAAATATATTTGATTTACATTAAACAAATATATTTGATTTACATTAATTATGAGAAATAAGATTTTTATCTATACTATATTATACAAATCGTTTATCTTGGATATATGGTTGTCCGAGCATAGCGTAGCGCAGGTATCTAGCTCGTTTGTTCTATTTGCTCTTTTAAATTTTTCTTTTTTTTTTTAATAAAGGTCTAGGGATTGTTTTTAGCTAGATATAAGAAATGGATGTTGATCAACAATTTCACATCTTTTATCAACAGGCTTAGTAGTGCAGCCCGCTCCCTTGATGATTTATGGTGACCCGGACTCTTCTTTTATGAATGAGATGCTTTTAGTTCCTAAATAAGCAGCCCTTATTTGATTTTTATAGGGTTTTCTTAGTCGTCCAAATCACTAAAAGGACCAATTATTGTCTATAAACCATCTTATATTATAGATGTTGTCAATTATTCTTTCAAGTAGAAAGTAATTTTTCTTGACATATGAAAATATCGATTCATCTGTACTTTGTTTAGTATTAATGAATTTATAGTATTAATGAAATATATATTTCTTTTCTGAAAAAAATGTATTGTTTCGTCAAGGGTGTGGATATTGTGAAATATTCTAACTAATTAATTCCATTATAATTTTTAAGGTGATGCTTGATAACAAGAAATAGAATGATGAAAATGTGAATGAAAATCCTATTTCTATCATGTAAGGGTTTAGTTGAAATAAATAAAATGACAATGAAAATGTAAATTAAATCTAGTTTCATTTCCATCAAGGGAGGTAAGAAACAAAATAAGAAATGGGAATGGGATTTTTTATCTTTAAAAGAATGATATATATGTATATATCAACCACCACCATCGACGGTGGTGACGATATTTTTTTCTAATATTTTTTATTATTATTCTACCATCACTCTTTTATAATCATCATCACCTCCACCGCTATCGTTACGACAACCATTAGCGATGGTGATGACATTTTTTTCAAAACAAATTTATTTTATTGTTATTATTCCACCATAAGTCTTCTACAACTACCATCACCACCGTTGCGACCATCATTAGCGAGTGGTGATGACATTTTAGAAAAACAATTATTATTGTTGTTGTTATTTTGCCACTATTCTTCCACATCCATCACCATTCTTCCATAATCATCTCTTATAACGGTGGTGGTGGTGGGTATGTGTGTGTGTGTGTACACACTACTTCACCCCTCCCCCTTATCCTTCTCTTCAATCATCACCACCTTTACAATCATGTTTATCGTTTTTACTATTACTTGTCATGATGAAAATTTTATTTTGATCATTGTTTTTTTTCATCATAAAAACTAGACAATAAAAAAAATTAAATTCTATTCTTGTTTCTTGTTATTAGTTAAATGGAGTATTTGAATTAAAATATCATTTCGATTCTTTATTGATTTTTGCATTTTCATTTCGAACTTTTTATTCCTAGCAATCAAATGCTACTGCTGCCAATGGGTCATATTCGGATTGAAACCTAGTAGATCTAGATTTGATTTGTTTCATAAAACTATTCGGATCGAATCTTATAAATTTAAATCAAATTTTAAAAATATCATTCTAGATCTTAATAGATATGGATCAAATTTGGAGCTTTATCAAATTTATTACTTTGTTTTTATAGAAAATCTATGTTACTATATTTAATATATTGCTTTAATATAAAATATATTTTAACCACTACATGTGTGTGTGTATACACATGCACACACACACACACACACACACACACACACATTAAGATAATATTTTATCTATCAATGTTTAGAAAAATTCAAAATGTCACATAATTCAAAAGCACAACATCAATTAATCATAATAAAAATTTATCTTGAACTACGTAAAAAGTATGATAAAACTAAAGAAAAAGAATAACAAATAGTTTTTATTTCTAGCTCATGTGGTATTAAAATGAATATTTGTTAATTCTTCGGGATTCTTAACATACTCGGTTCTTTGCCTTGACAATGAGAGTGACTTCTTTGAGATTTTGGGAAATGATTGTATTCCTTTCTCTTGACACCCCTCTCATCGTGTCTAATCATTTCTTGTTCAGCCAAGTGTCGGATTGGCTAGTTTTGGCATAAGGAGTTTGCATGTGGCGTAACTTGTAGTGGAGAGAAAGCCTCCAGAGTTGATGCATGTAGAGATGCTTCTTTTTTTAGGCGTTGGTAGTGAAGTGGTCAAAGACTTTATCTCGCTCTTAAACTAATATGTACACCTTTATTAGCAACTCAATACGTCATTCTAGTTGTAGCAAACATATCGATGAAGCACTAGTATTGGCAAAGTCGAATGGTGTAGATCGTGATGGAGTTTTTCGATGGTCAACCATTGAGAAGTTCATACACGGAGAAATAGAATAGTTTAAGATTGGGTTTTTGTTCAATTCCTACGGATGGTGTCATTGATGAGGTGATGATCCTCGAAATAATATTGAGGGTTTGACGGCTTCTAGTTCATGTTAATCGCATGGTTGATATATCTTGTTAATTGTTGAATCATTGGCGAGTAGGCTGCAAATAAATCATTCTTTAGTGTTTGGAAGAATCTTCAATGGCTAAGTTAGTGTATGGAAAGAGGTGTTTAGCTTGGATAAGTTTACTAATATTTACCTCTTAGCGAGAAGAAGATATATGATATAATATTTATTTTGAGTTTAGAATACCGAACCTATAACTCTTGGTGTGTTAACTTTTATATAAGTAGGGAGGTGATCAATTTACATGGAGTGGATGATAGATTGGCTTCTCTTATAATGATTAGTAACTTCTAACATCTACTTTTTGTTCAAGTTCTCTTGCGGTAAATATCATTGTCTAACTATGCATGTGCAATTATATTTGGTGATGATATGATGTGATAATGATATTCTAAAAAGTTAGGTCTTCTTTAAATATATGTCTTTTTTATCTAATCAAATGAAAGAAGTGGTGCTTTTTTTTATTTGAATTATTCGTTTGTATTGGTCGCTTGGACTTTACTCGGCTATAGAGCCCCTTTATAGCTAGTTGTGCTTATCTTGTTCATGGGAAAATTTCATACGAACGAGTCTTTGAAAGGAGCAAAAAACACATATTATAATCGTAATCGTATAGATATATCATATCCTACTTAGTTCGGAAAAGTCTCTTAACAAAAGATACAATAATATTCTTTAAAAAATTAATAAAGAAAGACATCTTGATTGTAATTATTTTTCATGCATTGTTATTTTTATTTGTAGTTAGGTCTGTTTTATTTGTTTTTAACATATAAGAAAAATTTCGTGTGGTGATTTCTATTAAAAGAAGAAGAAAAAAAAAGGTTCCATATTCTTCCCTAAAGTTCCTAATTTTTTTCCTCCAACTTCTAAAGAAAATATTAAGTTGATTGAGACATCAATTGAACATCAAGCTCCCCTTCTATAATGTAATTGTTTTGAGAAATTAAGGGTTTTTCTTTGTTTTTTGACATGTTATTGAATTCTTTTTTATTTCAATATCGGTTATGTTACTAATATAGGAATCATCGATAATGTAGTATCATTAAAAACAAAAAAAATCGGCAACATACGCCCCTTAATTAAATTATTTTTACAGGAAACCTTATCTTGAAATTTATTCCCGCTTATCTTTTAACGTGTAAATTTTAAATTAACAGACATATATATATTTAAATAATATAAAACGAAGCACATAGGACCGCATAGCGCAGTGGATTAGCGCGTTTGACTTCGGATCAAAAGGTCGTGGGTTCGACTCCCACTGTGGTCGTTTATTCTTAATTGTTGAAACTCTTTAATAAATAACAAAAAGTTAGTTCAATCTGTTTTGTGTGTTTTTTCTTTCTGAAGGAGAAATAATGAACGATAGCAAAGGTTAGTTTTTATATTGTTTATTTTATACTCTCTTATTCTAGTTCAATTCGGTTAATCACTATCGGAAGTCGATGAAGAATTTGTATTATATCAAATTTGCTACGGAAGTAGATGAAGGATTTTTATTATATCAAATTTACAAGTATAAAGGTTGATAAGGACCAAAATTGGTTGGAAAGCCAATATGAGCAAAAATTAAAAGTAGAGCGGTACCGGTGATTTTCACCCCTTTCCAGGACACAACTTAAAATCCACCTCCTACTTAAGGACCTTTGTATCATTTCCCTGACAGGGAAGTTATCAAACCAGTACAAAAATACCATACCCGACAGATCCACCAAATATAATTCGAGGTTGATTATACAAAGGTTTCGATTCCAACTGTGTCATGGTTAGTGAAAACCTTGCTTTCAACTTTCAAGTCCTCGGCCGAGCTTGTATTTGTATCTCCTCTTTATAAGACCGCAATTCACAAGATGAGGTTACCTCGTAGTTTGCATGGCAGCAATTGTGACGGCAACTTTACCAACCTTTGGATGATTATTTTTAGTAAACCAATCAGAAGCAAGACAGAGCAGGGGAGTAGATGAGGAATTCAATACAAATCAACTCGATCAGTGAAGATGGCAGTAACCAGATAGGCATATGTAGGAATACGATATCAAAACTCAATGTAACCAAAATCCAGAAATTCTGAATTTAGAGATGGAAGACACAAATAAAGTAATCCAAGAAAAGATGCAGAAACAAAATAGTTGCTTGGGTAGCTGCACCTATATCAAACGCACTATCTAAACTTTGATTGCATACTTTCTCATTGGGAAATACATCTCCCTTTTCTTCTCACGTTCCGTCTTCAACGATGCCTGCAGCAAAGCAAGTGGAAAACAAGAATAATAGTATAAGGATTCTGTATCCATGAATCAAACTAGACATAATGAAATCAACACACAATGCAGCAGCTTTTTATAGCTTAAAGATGCTAAAAATGAGAACGTTTACCGAGTACAAAATAAAACCAATCTGGACAAACTTAGAACATTACACTCAAAAAGAAAAACAGCAAGCAACCTGTAAATTCAATTAGCTCCAAATTCTTAATATCCTCAACTTTCGAGGAAAGCGAGACCTTGAGGGTATCAATATCAAGTCCCACCACTCAAAAGCACTCACATCTTTTTCTAAAAGTTTACACAAATACATCTCGTCATATACTCAATCCAATAATAATTTTGCTTCAATTCAATAGGTATTCAGTTTTCTTTCTGAACGCACTTTACTAAAAGCAAAATGTACTCAACCTCTGAGATACATACTCAAATAGCATAGTAACTAATCAGTATTTTGTTTAATTGTACACAAAAACTTGAAAACTAATTATCATTTCCTTAGTTACAACCACAGTAAGACAAAAATCATGAACTCTATCTAAATCAACATTTTTTAAGATTAACTATGAGCCAAAAGAGTGAAATAGTAAATATTCATAAATTTCATTTGGCAGGGTAAAAAGGATCTGGTATTTAGTAAGAAGTCTCCGAATTGGCATATTTCAATCACAAACATTACCTGACAGTTCACCATATGTTAATATGTGAAATCTCACAGGTATCAATATCAAGTCCCGCCCCTCAATAGCACTCACATCTATTTCTAAAAGTTTACAAAAAAAACTATTTCCTAACAGTTCACCATATGTTAATATGTGAAAGCAACAAACATATAGCTAACTATAGTTGTTTTATGGATACAAAAAACTTCGAATTCATCTCTCACTCATTTTCTTGTTGATCATTGCAAGAAGTCATACACTACCAGGCGCCGCTAGCTAAACCAGAAAATTCTACAAACAAGAACTACAAGCAAAAAGATAAGCGTGACATCCAGTAAACATTAATTGGCAAGTTAAATAAGGACCTGGTGTTTAGTAAGACGTCTGCGAATGGCACGGGTTTTCTTGGGACGGAGATCAAGAGGCAGAAACTTCTTGTTCTTGTAAGCTTCCCTAAGCGCGGCTTTCTGTTTCTGTGATATCACAGTCAACACCTGCGCTATTGACAACCTTACCACCTTTCTGCACCCATTCAATTTTTATATATAAATAATCACACACACGATTTAGCCACAATATAAAATCACTGAAACTAACAGCAAAAAATAATCAATAGAAGGAGAGAGATATGATTTACATCTTGGAGAGCTTGTTAGGGGCACCGCCAGTAACCTTGGCAACACGCAGCAGAGCGAGCTCTGCTTTAAGCTCCTTCAACTGGGCCAGCAGCTCTGTCTTTGACTTTTCCCTCAACTCGTGAACCTTTATCCTTGCTTTTTATGATTCCAAATAACAACTCATTTAGGATAAAGCAATAAAATCAGTCAGAAGAAAAAAGATGTACAAAAAGGAGGATCGGTTTTGTTACCCATTTTAAAGTTGCTTCAAGGCTCTGCTGCTTCTCCTCCTCTTCCTCAGTTGTCTTCCTTTCAGAAAACCTAGAAGGAAGAGAAATGATCTTATTTGAGGATCCACATATGGACAAATAAAATGTACTGTTTCTATGGGCTGTTTAACAGTTAGGCCGAGCCTCAAGCAGACTGCTATCATTTTATTGGGCTGTTCCAGGGGGCCGATGCACTTTCAAGCATCAAGTAAGTAGATTTTCCCTAATCGGACAATCTAAACTTTCTTTCATTTCAATGGGTAACTTTGACCTGATTTATTGCATTATAAAATCTTTTGAATTCCATAAGAAAATCTTTTCAAACACTTCATATTTTTTCGAATTTTCACAATTAAACTCTCAATAATTTTCAACTCATCCTGCACGACTAGATTGAGTATATATACACTACAATAAACTTGAAATAAATCTCCATCTAAATACAATAATAATTAGTCAGAAATCCAATCTTCCATACTTCTCACAATTGGATTATTATTTGATTCGTTATCAACTTCCATTGCCAATAACTTCTTATCAATTGTTTCATTCTAAGACTAATTTTTTTTAATAAATCTAAATATAATTTCTTCTTATAGGGATAATTTTTACATTTAAATGTAGAGAATTTGTTTGTGTAATTATCAATCATCATCAATAAAGTAAGCAATCAAGCAAATGAAACTAAACTTTTGATGCTTTGTTGTCCACAAATCAATTGTAACATTCACCTTATAATTAAGTTGTTCAAGATAATTGTACAACTTTTATTTCTTCACTCGATGAACTTCTAACACATCGACCTTAATAGTATTTCTTGACACGAGTTTGAACTCCGGTCGGAGATCTTTTAATAATATCACAAAATAATTATGTTTAACCATGTAAAATGCGTAGTTATGTTTAATTATTGTTCTAACAAAGTCAATTTTGCTATTTTATTGATGAAACTTAAAAGTATCCATAGGAATATTTTCATTGCCAGCATTCCTAGTCACATTTAACACTTGTGGGCCTTCAGTTCTATGTTTTTTTACCACACATTGGTCTAATTGATTTCTCAGATGAGTAGTTTCTTTACTGGTTTGGCCTACAAATTCTTTCTTAGAGTGCTTACACTTAGCAATATCCTCTCCATTTGGTATTTTGCAAAACCTTGCCATCCCTTTTATGTCAATTTTCTTTGTCTAATAAATATGGTCTTGTAGTAGCCTCAGCCTTCATAACCTGCTTCCATTTATCTCCACTCTTTTGTAGTCATCTAGCAAGTAAATCGAAAGAAATATTTTTACTTAGAGGTAATACATGATTTGACATAAACTGAAGCAAATCAAATCAATACCAAACAACGAGCATAAAATTTGAATTCACAATCTTTATTTGAACTTGATTTAGTTTATAAAATGCTGAAAAGAATAAAAAGAAAGTCTAAAATTCGAACAAGAACATCCATTTTTTGTTATCCTAAACTCTATATTATGCAGATAAAAAAAAACTCATTTCATATATATTTGCAAACTCTATATCCATAGAGTTCATAGAATCCTCCCAACAATGAAAACAAAACAACAAATTTAGCTCCTTTTGCAGGTTCCTTAACCTAATATTGAAAAAAAAAAAAAAAACAAATAAACAAAGCCTCTTTTACTGTTTCCTTGAAGTTTTAAGCTAATTTCTCAAATGGATTTATCATAAAATTCATTTACAATCTAGGAAAAAGAAAAAAAGGAGTTTATTGTGCAGTATACATAGCAACAAAAACTAAAAAAAAAAAAAATCCCTATCATGCCCTAATAAACTCTAATAAATTATCACAAATGAAAGCGATCTCCTTGTGATCAAAGCTAAATCCACTAATACAAATCTCACAGAAAACATATTAGCATCTCAAAATCTTATAAGGTTTAAAAACTTTGAACTTTAAATGTTGCTAAAAGTAAAGACCACGAGTAGCAAAAAAGAAAAGAAAAAAAATAACAGTTATAGTAAATTTGGTTCAATATTATATAAAAAAGAGTTGATTAAATTTGATAGAAGTAAATAATATATACTTGATTATTTGGATTAGAAGTTGATACACCAAACACCATCAAAAGTCTCTGCTGTCTTTGTGGTTTTTGGTCATGACTCAAATCCGTTTATGATAAAATCACAAAACACAAACCTTGGAGTATCCCATAAGATATTATTTTATGGGCTAATTATTTAGAAACCTTAGCCCACTATAATTTGAGCTAATCTTGATGAATTGTATTTGGGCCAAATGAGTTTAATAGAAATAAATTGTTAGCGTGCTCGGCCCAAAGTATATATAAAGAGGCCATGAATATTTTTTTTTCATATTTCAATTTTTAATATTTTTAAAGTATTACATTTATTAAAAATAATATATATTTTTTTATTTCATATAAAATTATTATCGAATCAAATTACATATAAAATTTATTTAATCAAATCAAGATCATTTCATATTGATTCATTTAGTAAAGGAACTGACGAATTCAGGTTCTAATGAAATTTGAATTGTTAAAAATTACTTATAAAATTTATTTAATTAAATCAGATTCAAATAAAAATTCAATTCACCTTACCAAACAGCCCTATAGTATCATCCCCTACCAAAAAAAAAAAAATTTATGTAAAAGAAAAATACCAATACACGAATTAGCACCCAAAAAATTAGAAAAACTAACAGACAAAAAATATTAGAAAGAAATAAATAAAAGCCAACCCGATCCTGTGTTATGCCTTCCGAATTTCCATTTCACTCCAGCCGGCGTAGAAGTAAAAAATTAAAAATTAAAAAACGCCCGGCATGCATCACTTTCTTTCCGCATGAATGATGAAACAGCTCCTCCTCTTCCGCGTCCTCGGTAATAAAAGAAAAAACTAGCAATGCTTAAACCCAACACCACCTCTCGCATCTCCAAAACTTAAGATAAGAAGCTGCAAAACATCTTCCCATCCCAATTCCCACAGCGATGAAACAATTACACAAACAAACAAGCGTAAATCACAGGAGAGATGATGAAATCCCTACTTCTCAATCAACTCAATCCTACTCACCTAAGACGCTAAAACACTCAAGATCTCTTCCTAGATCCATTCATTATATCTTCAAAGAACAACGTCTTCTTTTCATTCTTGTTGGCATTTTAATTGGTTCCACTTTCTTCATTTTCCAGCCTACTCTTTCCCGCCTTAACCCATCGGATCCAACTACCCATTCGTCTATCTCCACTTCAATTTACCATCTCAACCGAGATTCCTCATCTGGTTCCTCCGGTTTTTTCTCAAAGGGAGCGTTTCCAGGCCGGGTCCCAGCTGGGATCGGGAGGAAGAGGTTGCGTGTTGTGGTTACTGGTGGAGCTGGATTTGTTGGGAGTCATTTGGTGGATAAATTGATTTCGCGGGGTGATGAGGTTATTGTGATTGATAATTTTTTTACTGGGAGGAAAGATAATTTGGTTCATTTGTTTGGGAATCCGAGGTTTGAATTGATTAGACATGATGTTGTTGAGCCTATTTTGTTAGAAGTTGATCAGATCTATCACTTAGCTTGTCCTGCTTCGCCGGTTCATTATAAGTACAATCCCGTCAAGACTATTATATCCTTTTATGAAGTCGTTATGATTTCTAAAATATCATTGGTTATTTTGAGTGTGTTTTTGTTTGTGATTTGTGTGTTGGAATTTTTGGATCCTTGACTGTGAATTGTTTGCTTACAAGACGAATGTGATGGGCACACTCAATATGTTGGGTTTGGCGAAGAGGGTAGGGGCAAGGTTTTTGTTAACGAGCACAAGTGAGGTTTATGGAGATCCACTTGAGCATCCGCAGAAGGAGACCTATTGGGGAAATGTGAATCCAATAGGTCTGATGCTAGTTAAAAACATCTGTGTGTTTCATTGATGCAACAATGTGCTGTTGTTGTTATTGATTGGGTACGCTTTGAAATTGATTAGGTGAGAGGAGTTGCTATGATGAAGGAAAACGGACGGCGGAAACATTAGCCATGGATTATCACCGAGGTGCAGATGTTGAGGTAATTATCTCTGATATGTAACTAGATTTTGGCGCATTGTTTTGATGGAAGTGTTTCTTTTTTAAAAGAAACCATGTACTGTACTTGTATAGGAGGCATATAACTATCTACTAATTTGATGTAGGAAAGCACCTGGTTTTGAGTCATCATTTTTAATTCATTGTTCTGAACATTACTGCAGAAGTTTAACATGAATGTAATGTCTTTACATAAGTGTCTGCAATAATTAGTTCAGAAATGTACTCAATTTTGCTTTGATTGGTCAATTATCTTCTGAAAAATATTGCAATACAAAGTGAATGAATACAAACAATTAAATTTATCATAGAATTGACAGACTGAATGGTATTCTTTCTTCTGACAGTTTCAGCATTCTCCCAGTCATCTATGCTATTTCCTTTATTGTTATCAATTTGCTTGGCCAGGTTTTTGGTGGGGGGAAGGTCAACTTAGTTTGATGTACTTAATGTCTACATTCTACAATGTTTAAACAAGAGTATGAAACTAGAAACTGACAAAGCCATCCTGTGTAGGGTAGGAGACTTGTAAACTTGTAATATCACATATCCCTTCCTTTTGGCGTTGTTAAACTTTTGGTCCAAGTTTTACTGATTCCTATGTCATGCAAATTCTTCAAACTAGATTATCTTCTCCTTTAACTCCTTAAAATATTAGTTGATTTGATCGGCTGTTCTTGGGCTTTGCCTCATACAGTTAAAGGGTGGGTGATATTGGGACAGGCTTTTGGCTAATATCTTACCAATTGATATAAGTGAATTTGGCTTGTGGAAATTAGATTTTTCTTTAACTCCTTAAAGATTAGTAGATTTGATGGGCTACCCTTGGGCTTTGCCTAGGTAGGAAAGGGGTGGCGAGATTAGCCCAGGTCTTTGGTTAAAATCGTACCATTTGAAATAAATGAATTTAGTTTATAGAAAATGATGAATAATTGCAGCTATATATAACATTCATTGTCTCATATGCATTAACAAAATTACTTTCTTTGTATAATCTGTATTCACAAAAGAATCCAATCTATTTCAGCCTTCTCAGTTGCAGCAGCTTGGGCTCAAAACAAGCTTTGTGCTCATTTTTTCTTGGATCAACCAGTGAATTTCTTCAGTTATTTGATGCAGAGAATGAAACATTTTAAAGCTTTTGTGTGGTTTGTGCTATATTGGGTTGATGTGATAAATTGGAAAGATTTTTTCAGATGAAGATTACTTTTGTTCTCTATATGGCTGCTCTTGCATATACTTGCTCAGATAACCTTTGCGAAATGGGCTAATGATGGCTCTTGCCATTTGCAGGTGCGTATTGCTCGCATTTTTAATACATATGGGCCGCGCATGTGTTTGGATGATGGTCGTGTTGTCAGTAATTTCGTTGCTCAGGTATTATTCTCCATTTTAAGGCATAGATGTCAACAATGGTCTGCCATTTGGATTTTGGGATATCGAAGTAGAGGTTTGCTTTCCAGAAGCTTCTTTAACTAGTTGAACTATGTTTGAAGGCCATCCGCAAACAGCCAATGACTGTATATGGTGATGGGAAACAAACTAGGAGCTTCCAATATGTTTCGGACCTGGTATGGCATTATTCTCCAAATTTTTTTTTTAATTACCCTAAAGGCTTCTCTGGATGCCTAGTTACTCTTGCTAAATGTTTTTTAGGAACTTTAAAGTGATGGCTTGAAATTATTTAAAATTTCCTGGAAGCTGTATGGCATTTGAGCTCCTCTGTCTCAATGCAAACTACTAAAAACACCTTGCAGTTGCTATTCATGGCCACTAATCAGGGTAGTGGTTGCATAAGGCTTTGGAAAAGACGATCCCAGAAGTGATGAATTTGATTTTCATTAAGAGCCAAATAGATAATAATTGCAAGTGCAGAGGATATCTTGAACATTGGATGTGTTTTGGGCTTTCTGTTTAAGTTTTAAAAGGTTGATGTAATGAAGTATGTTAAAAGCCTTTTCTATTGATAGGTTGATGGGCTGGTGGCTCTAATGGAAGGCGAGCATGTGGGGCCTTTCAACCTTGGCAACCCAGGAGAGTTCACCATGCTAGAGCTCGCAGAGGTTTGTCTTCCTTCAAATTTTACAGTTTACTTATCTGTGAAAAAATAGACATGGATTCCTTTTCTGAGTGTGCTGTATTCTTTGCTAAGATTCAAACTCAGGCTATTAGTTTAGAATTGTTGTCTACTCATAAGTGAGTATGAGTGTCTATGCATGCGTGCCTGGGGAGATAGAGATAGAGAGAGAGAGAGAGAGAGAGAGAGATGGAAACTCTTAGCTAACTTTGGCTTGCTCAATTTATCTCCCTGAAGGTTGTCAAAGAGACTATTGATTCAAGTGCAACAATAGAATTCAGACCCAACACTGCTGATGATCCACATAAGAGGAAACCAGATATCAGCAAAGCAAAGGAGCTGCTGAACTGGGAGCCAAAAATTTATTTGAGAGAAGGATTGCCCCTCATGGTGAATGATTTCCGGAATCGCATTTTGAACGGAGATGAAGGGAAAGGGCTTTAAATAAATGACGGCGGAACTACGATGTATAGTCTGAAGACCTTATCTATATCTTGATTCATTTAATGGTTGTCTTCCATAGTCAATGTTTGCATGGAAATTATAACAAGGTGCCACGTCAGCAGGAAGAAATACATGTTGCTCGTGCCCGATGCTGATTACCACAAAATCGATATTAGTTTAGTTTTTTCTTTTGCCAAATTTTGAGTACCGTTTTTATACTGCAGTCTTGGTCTTGAAAAAGCTTGTATTAAATTGTAAGTTTTGGCGTGGAATAACATAGCTATAAAAGAATATAGGGTCATGATAGGGCCTTATCGCTCTTAATTGACGTCAAACTTCTTGTCTCTGTCTGGACCGGTTTAGTCTATGTATGTCGTAGGCCATGACCATTGAGATACTGTCCGGTCATATGACTGGGAATGTGGCCTAGGTTTCGGTCAGGTTCGTGAGCTTAGTAAATCCCTTCCACAGCAGTCATGTTGTTGAAATTTAAGGGAAATGACTAGATCTGATATATTTCTAATTAAGCTAATTTTATTCACTCAGTTTCCTATCTATATTCCGTAAATGTGAAAAAAAAATCATTTAAATTAACATAAGCAGTTGTGCACGTGATTATATTGAAAATGGCAATCTTAGTGGACGAAAAGGGGGTCACTAGAGAAAGGAGAGGGAGATTCCAAAAAAGAGCGAGGTCTGGTCTTGTGTGAATTTTATTTATTTATTTATATTTATAAGTATTTAATATATGATTCTATTATAATATTAAGTCATATGTTTGATTGATTTAATTAATTTATATGGATAGATGTATGATTGACTTAAGTAATACTAACGAGGAATTTTAGCTTCATACTGAGGGGGTAAGGAACCACCGTATTCGACTTTATTTATACATGTAGAACACATCCCCAACCTAAATCTCGAAAAAAGGGGGTTAATTAGGCCCTGTTTGGGGTTGAGGATAGGGTTGGTTTTTGAGGTTGCGGCTAACGAAAAATTGAATATGGAGTTTACTCACTTGGTACACATGCATCCAACTTTCCTCTAAACCTTTTTTCATATATATATATATAGTATCTTCAAGCAGAAGTGGAGTTAGGTTTCGTAGTTAAATAGGATTAAAAATAAAAGTACTATTTCGATGACTATTGTTACAAAAATATATATATATATATATATATATATATATATATATATATATATATATCACATCAAAATTGAATTGTAAATCACAAAATGTTATTTAAATGATAACCTCATGTATAATTATTCTAAACATATTACCCTTTACTAAATATGTGATTGAGTAAATAGAAAGCTTAAAAAACTATGAAGGACAAATGTTTAGAAAAAAAGAGGGGCAAATTTCACATCCATAAACTATTAAGGATTATCAAGAACTTTTTGAAAAAATTATGCCCGCCTTCTTTTTCGTGTAGCTCCACCCCGACCTTCAAATTTACAGAGTAATATATAAGATAAAGTCTACAATACTAATTAAGTATATATATTTTTTAAATTCGTAATCATTTTTTCTTATGTTTTAGATAATAATATATTTTTTCTTTAAGGTAACAAGAAACTTTTTATATTAAAATAATACTTAATCATTAATAACTATTATAATTACGAAGCAATTAATTAAATTAATAAAAGATAAGATATTTTTTATAGTGCAGTAAGTAAATATTTTTACTTAACAATTTGTAATCGTCCATTTATTACAAAGTCAATAACAATTTTCTTTAAATAACAACGTACCTTTTGAACTTTTAATTGTATTAAAGGATGGCAGAATTATCTATACATTTGGATGGATACCCGATCAAACCCAATGGAATTGAATGGATATCGAGAGCATTTTTTTCTTGATAAGCAAATGGAAATGGAAGCAAGGGACGTGCTCTCCATCCAGTGTGGAACCCAAATCAAATTATATATAATCAACTATACTGTTTCGGGTCTTTTGTCATGAGTATTCTCGATTATTGATCATTGAAAATAAAATAGTTGTTGAATTTATATTTAACTACGAGGGAGTTATGGTAAAATTTAATATTTATATCAACTTAAATTTTATTTTTCATTGGATTTTAACTATTAAATATTATTGGTAAATAAAAAAATAATGGAGAATTTCTACATCCATTCCGAATCAGATAGAAATTTTTTTCTCCTCTATCCTAAACCCGATTAAAATCGGGCGGGGATGAAGGAGGTGTAACCCATCTCAAATCCGTCCCATTACCTTTCCTAAATTTGTATTGTAGTATTAGCAACTAATAAAATTACAAAATGATTAGTTAAGATATTAAGTGATAAAAAAATTATAATGATATCTTAAATAAAATTATTTAATTGTTCATAACTTGAAGACATTATAATTTATAATATTATTTATATAAAATAAACATATAATATCTATCGTATGCTTATTGTTCATTGTTTTTTATTCAAAGTCACCATGAATCTCAAATATTGATCGAACAATTTGTTTTTTCCTCCTCACATCTATTATTACCATTATTACCAACATAATTACGTCGATAAGGTCAGCTTCTTCACTAGATAACAATGGACTTGTTTTCTTTATGGGAGTCATGATTACATCCAACCGATCGACAAAATGATTACTCCATCGTTGGAAACTCATTTTCCGGAAGCCAACATAACTTTTTCAACAACTTTGCCGACCCGAATCGTGCAATCTAGAAAATATCTGTTGGTTAGTGCTTTTGCTTTATTGAAGATAAAAAATGGGATTGTAGTCCGTAATTGTCATAACTGCGGACACTTGGGTTGGGACCAATGACTGTGAGATAGAAAGAAAGTAAAGGTGGCCATGCGGCCCATGCCCAACTTTTTAACTGTTTTTTTCTTTCTTCCAACAAGTCAATTATTCATACATGAGTAGTAGATTTTTATCTAAAAAAGCATAAAGTTCTGCCACCCCAAACCCCTCAATGTTATCCGTTGGCGCACTGCATGCCACATGCACAATTATTAGTCGAGGTACAAACATTGGACCCAAAGCTCGAAGGTTGTCTAATGCAAGAGTCCCTCTTGCTTACTCTAATCTGGGGATGGCTTAGCTTCATCATCGAAGCCCGAAGGCCCCAAACGATTTGACCCTTTAAGAACGTTGTTTCTTAGAGTCTTTTGACACTTCAGAACAATCAATACTACTCTTTACGTAGGTGTCGACTAGAGGTGAGCAAATGATTCGATTAAACAAAAATCAAATAGAACCGGATCAAATTATAGGATTTGGTTTGATTATAAATTTAAAAATATACAATTTATAATCGAACCGAACAAACCGAATTTATTTCGATTTGGTTCGATTTTTGAAAAAAAAACGGTTTGAATCGAAAATCGAAATTCCTAATTCTAATTTCTAAATCCCTAACCCTAAGCTAGCTAACGTTGTCGTTTCACTTTCAATCTTAACTCTTCACTTGAATCACTTCGATCTCTTTTTTAGACTCACTCGACGGTTAGCGGTCTTCGTCTCACTCTCACCCTAACCACTAAGCAAACTCTTTCCTTCGACTTTCATCATCTCCATCTCATTCTCACACGAGTCACACAATCACACCTCACGAGTCTCACTCTTCTTCTCCATTCTACAGCTTTCCACTCCGAGTCCATTCCGAGTCCTCTATCGCTCTTCTAGTCCTTCGAGCTCCAATTCGGCAGTTCTCCTTCAAATTTTGAAATTCACCACCCACCATTTGGCTTTTGCATAACTAATCTTCGTGTCTTTCAAGGTGAGTCTCCTTAATTTTTGAAATTATAGTGCTTTAAGATTTATGTCTTCTCGGATCTCTGCTTCTTTACTCACAATTAATTCTCCGTTAATTGTTAGTACGTTATATGGGCATGAGAAGAACTCGTTAATGTCAAAGGATTGCTTCCATTCTATTTCTATATGGGTGTTCTTAAGGATCCGTTAGTAAATTGTTGTGTGTCCTAGGCTCCTAACTATCTTGATTGTATCAAATCTTCTTTCATAGTATTTTAGCAAGGAAATTTACGGTGTTGAAAGCCCTTATCCTCCTTCGGTAGCTTTTTCCACTTGTTTTCATTCAAAATACCTTTTCGTCGTTCTTATTCGGATCCCCCATCTTTTCCACCCTCATCTCGTCCCAATTACGTAAACTCTCCGGGAGGAAGAGGCTTTTGTTAGGAATGTATGAGTTTGCAAAATTTTGAGGCCTTATTTAATATTTATAATCGAGAAGTAGCAACTAGCAAGTTTTTAAATTTTTGAAATTTTGGCTAGTTGCAATTTGTTATTGTGTCTTGAGTTAGTCTCTCTCTCCTCCCTCTCTAGTTGTATTATAAGTTTATAACTCATTGAGATCTATCTTCTTTAGAATGTGCAAAGTGCGATGCCTCCCTCAATTCTAATTGGCTGCGGCTAGGGTGTTTATGAGCAAACATAGTATACTTGGGTCTCAATCTCTCTCTTAAATGTGCATTAGAACCATTTACGATTTATTTCTTGCTTTGAATCCTCTATGTGCATCAATTGTGTCTAGACATTCATTTTAGTATACAATGGTATTATACTTTATACTGTCTAAAGGGAAACTTGCTAGCATGAAACCACAAGGGAGTAATTAATTAATTTGAGTAATACCACAATGCGGTTCTAAAGAAATTTCATTCTTTCAATCTTTATACTTGTCTAGTTGGATTGTGGACTAGTGACATTACTGCCATCACTAGTTTGGTAGTTTATGTTGTTCAATCATATTATCATACTATAAATTGAAAGTTAGACTCCTGCAATCTCCGATTATGCTTGTAAAAATTAGAGAAAAAAAGCTATAACATTTTGTACATTGCATCTCTTAAAGGGAGCGAGACTTGTTAATTGTTGCTTGTTATGACAAATTCTATGACTTGCTTAAGGAATACCGATAAGCAACCGCATCTCTTACACTTGCCCTTTTGGTCATGGTTTTATCTAAAGTTAGTTTTAAATAATGCTTGACGTTTCGGATCATTTTTATTTTTTTGAGGGGAATGGACGAGTGATAGGTCGGTAGCTACCTACCACTGAATAGAATGTGTCTTTAAACTACCGAAACTTTCACGCCTAAGTAGACACACCTTTCATCAACAGCGGGTAGTAGCATCTATCTATATAACTATATGGCTATATTTGAGCTATGCTTATTTTAGGATCATCCAAATCCAAAGCATGAAGTTCCATTCCATATTATGCTGCGGTTGCTTGCCAACTTGATAACCGATGTATATTTAGTATGTTTTCTTGATTATTTAAGATTGTGAAGAAGCTTAATACTCATTTTCTTTTGTTGTTTATGTAGATGTCACAATCTCAATCCGAAAAGATGAATTATGAACATACGAGTTCAAGCACTCCCGATCCATAATCAAGTGTAGCTCTAACTCCAATTGCAAGTTACACTCGAAGGTGGCAAAGGAAAGAAGAGGAAATCAATGAAGCTAAGAACGATGGTGTGGGATCATTTTACAAAGTTTGAAGATGACAATAAAGACATGAAGGTTAAATGCAACTATTGTGGTAAGGTATTTGCTTGTAATCCTTTAAAAAATGGGACAACCTCGCTTAGGTCTCATGTTTTGACTTGCAAAAAAACCCTTATAGTTGTATTGACTCTACAAAAACCCAATTAGACCTTAGAAGGCTTGAAGTAGGAGAAAGCGAGTCTTAGCACATGGAAGTTCGATCAAAATGTTTGTAGAAAAGATTTAGCTAAATGATCATTCTAGATAAACTTCCATTTAAGCATATCGAGGGCGGGGGATTCAAAAAGTTTTTATCTAATTTACAACCTAGATTCAAACTTTCATCTCGTTTTATGATTTCAAGATTGCTATTAACTTTATTTAGATGAGAAAATAAAGTTGAAGCATTTTTTGAAACAAAATAGTCAAAGAATTAGCCTCACTACGGACACATGGACATCTATTCAAGGAATCAATTACATGTGTTTAACGACACATTTTATTGATAATGATTGAAAGTTACATAAAAAGATCTTGAATTTTAGTCCGATTGATAATCATAAAGGAGTAGATTTAGGCATTGCCATTAAGAAATGCTTGATTGATTGAGAAATTGAGAAGATTTTTAGTGTTACGGTTGATAATGCAAGTTCAAATGATGTGACAATTAGGCACTTAAAAGATGTGATTAAGAATTGGGGTTATAGCATCTTAGATGGAGAATTCATTCATATGAGATGTATGGCACATACTTTGAATCTAGTTGTTGTTGATGGGTTAAAACATTTTAATCCTTCGATCGTTCATATTTGATCGGTCGTTAGGTTTGTGAGGCAATCTCCGGCTAGGTTGAGAAGATTTAAGGAATGCATTCAACTTGAGAAAATTGATTCTAAGAGTTTGTTACAACTAGATGTCGCAACTAGATGGAATTCAACATATTTGATATTAGAGTCGACTCTAAAGTTTGAGAGAGCTTTTAAGAGATATGAGTAAATTTTATCCTTTATATAGGAGTGAATTTGACGTAGATCTTGGTGATAATGTTGTTGGGCCACCTAATGTTGATGATTGGAAAACTTGTAAGAAGATGGTGGGAATGTTAAAAAACTTTTACAACCTTACTTTGCGTATTTTGGGTTCTTTGTATGTGACTTCAAATACTTTTTTTAAAGAGATTTATGCACTCGAACATGTTTTGAAAAAATGACAACGAAGTGAGGATTTGGATGATTTATTGGCTAATAAAATGAAAGAAAATTTTTTGAAGTATTGGAGGGATATTAAGAAAATGAACAAGTTGATTTATATTGCAACAATACTTGATCCTAGACATAAACTTGTATTTATTGAATTTTCAATCAAGGAATTGTATGGTGATTTGGAAGGTCAAAATATGTCAAATATTGTGAAGGAATCTATATGTGTTATGTATGATTTCTATTATCGTTCATCATCTCAAGATGAAATTGGCCAAGATAATGGTAGTGGAAGTTGAGGAATAGATGTGGATTGTGCAAATGAAAAAATGATTGATGAAGAAGAAACTAGAGTAAGAATGGAGATAATGATACGTTTTGAAAAATACAAGTATGAAATTAGAGGTGGAGGAAATAAAACAGAGTTGGACAAATATCTTGGTGAAAGTGCTGAAAATAATAGTCCCGATTTTAATATTTTAGAGTGATGGAAAAACAATTCTCCTCGATTTCTCATCCTTTCACAAATGGCTAGGGATTTCTTGGGGGTTCATGTTTCTACGGTCTCCTTATAATCGATATTTAGCACTTGGAGGAAGAGTTATTGACTACTTTAGGAGTTCTTTAACTCCTAGCTTAGTGGAATCTCTTATATGTGCTCAAGATTGGATTAAAAATTCATCGACGCCAATTATTCTTGAAGAAAATTTACAAGATGTCGAAAAAATACAAGATGGTAATTTCTATAACTCTTATCTTTTCATTTATTATTTCTTTCCTCTATATTAATGTTAAAGGCTTTAATTAATTTTTTTTTCTTATATTTTTCAGAGTTACCAATTGCCACCACCTCTACTACAAAATGTTTGATGGGTTGATTACTCAATGGTGTTTTGGCTTTTGAATGATATGTGTAAGTTATTAAGTTTATAAGTCTGCTTTTTTTTTTTGTTGCTTGTCTTGTTGTGCATGTCTAACTTTCATCTGGTTAATAGCTCTATGCTACTGCCTAGTGAGTGCCTTTGACCTACTATAATTAAATTTTTATTACACATATCGGGGATTCGGGGCTGTCCATTGGATATTTAATAGTCTCCAAGGCTCCAAGCAAGCAAGTGAGACTATAGGAGGAGGCTCAAGGTTGTTTAGTGTTCAAGGCTCAAGGTCGTCTAGTGTGGCAATGTCCAAGGATTTATAGTAACTCTAATTTGATACATTGTCTTTGCTCTATTTATCATGATTTTGGTATGTTGAATTTTGATGAATCTGTTTCTTTTACCTTTTTTGAGGTGTTACCGTGTTGGTAGTCAAAGTCAAGTTGGTTTTAATTTATCTTGAAGGTTGCTATGCATACTTGCCATACTTTGTTGAATATTTAATCAATATTTGCTGAATGTAGTCAAAGCAAGATTGTTAAATGTTGAATGTTGCTTTCTATATCTCCATATTTGTTGAATGTTGTATATGTTAATCCGTCCATATTTGCTGCACTTGGTTTTGCCTAATGCGGCGATGCCTTGATCGCCTTCTAGTGCTTTTGCCTTTTACGGTTACGCCCACGACCACCGGACTAGAGTCCGCCATCGCCAGTCCGGTCTTCTTACTTCTTAGTTAAAGGTAATGCTACTCGGAGTCTAGACTTCTTGCCTTGATGCCTTCCGCCTAGTTTTGGTTCTCTCTAATCTCTGCTAGCTTGTCATTTATGTCCTAGAAGAAGTGAAAATGGCAAATGTTAGGATATTGAAATTCTATAATGTTCGATCCAAGTGAACAAATTAAAATTGAAGTCATGGTTGCGGATCCGTATGCAATCACCAAGAGGCAAGAGCAGCATATGATGTTAAAGACTTCAAGCTTTATTTTGTTAGTTAAACATAGTACTTTATCGCCCGAGTTTTGGTTCTCTTTATTGTTGGGTGCTGCTTGCCTTGTCATTCAGGACTTCTTGCTTTCTCATGTTTGGATAAACATAGTACTTTACTTATGCGGATGAAGACATGAAGTTGTCGAAGTATGGAACCATTGGTCATTCACTTATCCGGGTTTCTATGTTTAGGAAAGCTGAAATGCGGGAGACTTGGAGTTGGAGGAGAGTTGGCGGTATGAATATGATATTGCTTTTGAATTGTAGACTAGGAATGCTACCGGTTCTACTCTTTTTTTTTTACGGGAAAAAAGTTCATTTAAAACGAAATTATTTCGTTATCGAACCGAAATAATTCGGTTACAAACCGAATTAACCTAATTATATTTGGTTCGGTTACGGTTTTTATTTTTCTTAATTTGATTAATCAAAAATCGAACCGAATTAAGCTTAATCGAACCGTTTAACCGAATGCTCATCACTAGTGCTGACCACAGCCACTTCACTTAAATGCCGTCGCCTGTACACGCCGTTGGATGAGAACATTTCAATCTCATCCACTCGACAAATGATGATAATAATAATAATAATAACAATAGAATTCCCAATGTTTTAGAATACTGGTCAGACAAGTTGTATTACTTGCTTTTTTATCCTTGGGAAATGAAAAACACAAACGCCTTTTTTTTTTTTTTTTTTTTCAACTCAAGCTTTTCGTTTTTTCTTTTACTTGTGTGGTATATGATTGTTACCTCCATTAAATTTAGTTTGAAGCAATAGTTATTATTTAATAATTAATATATGATTATTTTTATTTATAGATATTACTTATTCAATGTAAAAATTAAATATCGGCTTATAATCATTTTTTATCTCAATATTTGAATCTAGTCACAATTTTTTTTTAGATTTATATTACTTGATACTTTGGGTTTTTTGGGGAACTTATTAGTTTTATTACATAATTTACTATTTATATATATAATTTTTAGAGGTATTAAATATATTGCATTTGTTAAGCAATTTATTGATTTCGTTACTCGACCTATTTGTTTTATTATCTAATTTATTCACTCTATTGTGCAACTTTTTTTACTTAAATTATAGATTTTATTATATAAATCAACCTTTTGTTGCATGATTATTTATTTTTTCTACGAATTTTACACATATAATAATTTCTCTTACTTTAATGGATCTTGTTCAAGATGCAAAATATGTGATGAACATTTTTACCGTTTTAACCAAATTCAAATAAAATGCTGTTTTATTAATCAAGAATTAACAAAAATGCCATGAAGAAAAACATTTAATCATTTGAATCTCACTCAGTTAATAGAAAATGCCAGTTTTAAAGAACTTATCTCTGGATGGTTAGTCTTATTGGTGAATGTATATACTTTTTCTAAATTATCATGTAGAGTTCAAATTCAAAAAAAAAAAAAATTGTAAAATAATTCTTTTTTTTTTTTTTTTTTGTTGAAAGCACTAGTCCATGTATAGATAACTAACTTATGATCCACCGATAGAAAAAATTGACATCAGTGTGCGAAAGCTAGTTAAAAACTATTATCATTAAGATCTGAAAAAAAAAAAAAAATTAAGGAACGCACAATTTTTTAAAGACCATGGACACTTCGTATCTAGAGTAAAAATACAAGTCAGCACATGATAGTTTCTTGTTACACTTAATTTACCAATAATCAACTGGTTTGTGCTTTTGCAATTAAAAAATAAATAAATAAATAAAATAAAATAATGTATATTAAATTTTTTGAACAATAGAATGTATATTAAACTCTGATTTGTTTAATTAATCAATTGTTGGAGTAATTGATAAATTAAGAATGCAGTTAACTAAATTAAATAAATACACATACTACTAAATTTATTAACACTGTTATGAAATCTACTAGATTTTGCTACATAATTTATTAGGAACGCTCCTATATATATATATATATATATATATATATATATATATAACATCATACTGTATTGACTTCTATCACATAATTTTTTGTTTTAGTCATAAATACATATTTTTAGTGATTTTGGGTGACATTAATTTTACCGTGTAATCATTTGAGTCTTTTTTACTGATTTCTATTTTTTTTTAATATATACAGTCAGCTTTTTTTGAAAAAATTGATAAACCGCCTAAAGTGGGCAAATAGTCCATTTTAATCAATTTTGATCATATACGATTATATTACTTTATTATATAACATTTTATTTAGTCAAAATTATTATTTAAATAATGTAATCCATTTTTTTTTATGATTACTCGAAACATTTGAAACTGTTAGGAACAAATTGAATGTTATCAACTTATCATATATATATATATGTGTGTGTGAATCGAAAGCCAATAATTGAGGTGGCACCAGTATAAAGTTGTTGCGTGTTATTTTTAAATTTGGAGAATATATTTTTCTTTTTATAAAAAGTAGCATAATACCGAAAGAAAAAGAATAGAGTGGAGTTTTCCATGTGACAATATTATTCTCCGAAAGACCAAGTAAATCTATCATTTCCATATGCGCAATGACAACGATTTTTAAGAAATTTTATATTACTCTATAAATAATTATTAATATTCACTCTATATAAAAGAGATAAATATGAAGAAAAGGGAGATTTTTTTTTAAAAAAAGAGAGATAAATATAAACAGAAGAGGAAAAAAAAACTTAATATATGATTTATATTATTTTTTAACATATCTCTTTTAAGTGAAAACTAAAACATTTAAATTAGAAACTTGTATAGTTTTATATTATCTTGCATTATTTATAGATAAAAGTATTCGATTATTGAAAAAAAAATCAATAAAGTTCTAATGTCAAATCAAGATCAACTAGGATAAAAATAAAACATTGAACTTAAAACCACTTAATTAATCAAACTCTAATACTATGTTAAAAAACTATTTTAATCTAATAATTTAAATTATTAAGTAAGTATTATGATATAATTTATATTATTTTATAATAAGATGTAATTTTTTTATGTCTACTTCTCTTTTAAAAAATATATTAATAGAATAATTATTGTTCTGAATATTTTAAAAATTTTCATGATTTTCTGTATCATCCAACCTTTTACTGAAAATGTTTTTGGCAACCGGTTATATCAGTTTGTATCACACGCCCACTTAAAACGATGGCCACGTGTCAAGTTAATGGCAACGGCATTTAAATGATGCACCGGCATTGTAAGGCAACGGGCATTGGAGAGTTCACTTTTATGAAAACGCTCTAATTAACGCAATTCTACGATACCGTTGCTATTCATGATGTGACAGGTGACTCCCAATTTATTAACAGGATACGATAAAACTAGTTAAATCAGCAGCCAATATAAAATGATGGTTATGTGAGCGAAGTATTAGTTATATGTAATTGAAATATTGATTATTTATTTAAACGGTTGGTTACATATATAAATATTGAAAATAATTTTTTTATAATTTTTTTAAGAGAAAAATTGTAAACACGATAAGAAGAAACAAATGAAGACATAATCGTTAAAAATAAATAATAATAAACAATAGAAGGACAAAAAAATATAAATATACTAGCACTTATTAAAATTAATAAAAAAAATGAACCCTATTAACTGAAATTTCTAAAATAAACATAGTAGCACCGAATTGAAATAAATTAAAAAAAGAACCCTGTTATTAATTAAAATTTCTTAAATTAAATTGTTTTTTTTTTTTTTAATACCAGCCAGGAAAAGTAATGGATATTCACAATCTGGATTTTGAATATTTAGATTCTATTAATTATTCATCGGATGAAAAATTTAAATATGTACATCTTATCCATCACTAATCAAGTAAGAAATTTTAATGATTCGAATCCGGCAATGGAAATGTAGTAGCAGTCACCTGAGTTAGATGAGATAGTCCATCCGTATGTCTATTTAGGTGAAAAGGCTGATTATTTGACTGGATTGGAGTGGTGAGTTTAATTCAATGCATTACACCTTACCGACAATACCATATGGCTATAGGCCAAAAAATAAAAACTAAAAATCAAATTATTTGATTACGAGTTTTATTTCTTGAAAAAGAAAACGATGGATCATGAGGCTCCCCATATGGATGTATCAATCTCTCGTCTGTTTTTTTTTTTTTTTTAATGCAGCAAAATTTCTAAAGTACTCATAAATGATTCTTCTTGAAATTTCTAAAGATGAAGAAAAAGGTTAATAAAGGTCCTGGAGGGGGACCTCACTATTTTCAACTAGAAAAATAAAATAAAATGCCCCACATCTTTAAGCACTTGGTGACAAAATAGAGAGAAGAGGGTAGGTTGGTCGATAAATAAGAAATAAAAATAAGGAATCGTATTTGATCTGGAAGTCTTAAATTGGTGCAAGGGATATATACAAGAGGAGGAAAAACATGATAAAGGCATTTACAAGCATCCGATTCCAAGTGGTTGTGAAGGAGAATTCGAGTTAATGGAGGAAAAAAGAAAGTTACTTTGTGTCTCATCCATCCACGGGAAAGAAAATTCGAAATGTTTTACACTATCTGTCAGCATATGTTCCATTAGAATCTTAATAATAACGTTTCCATCATGATTATTCTCTAGAAGCCTTTTTTTTTTTTTTTCCATGGAACTTGATATCTTTGTTCCAATGGGACACACCTGGGCCTTCCTAGCTAGCTGTCTTTTGCAGGTAACTGCTACTCATGCTTTTGGACTTTAGGTTTTTGTTTATTGATGTTTTGGTTTTGTGAACAAACCGAAAAAAAAAAAAAAAAAAACCGAAAATAGAACTATTGCTGCATATTACTTTAATGAAAGTTAATTAGGTACGAACTGATGGTAGATTACTATTTACTCCCCAAAAAATTCTTAGATGCAAATAGAGACTGATTCGAAGGTTCGTATTTCTATAGTTAAATTTTTTATTTGTACGAGGTGTTTCGGTTTCGTCTCAAGTTTTTAGTTTGTATCAGTTATTTCCCTAAACATTTAGTATAGTTTCAATTTTCTCTATATATCCATTTCAGTTAATTTCTGTCAGCACTAGTATCGGAAATTATATGTAAATTTCAGTTTTATTCCTAAAATTTATGAAGTATTTCAACATTATAAAAAAAAATTGAAATTAACAAAAATATAATTGAAAATCAATAAAAAATAATTTTTAATAAAAAATGATAGAATTCATCACGTCAATGCCAATTAACTACGCTAATGTAATCATAATAAATTAGGATGTAATTTTATTTTATTTTATAAAAAAGTGGTTCGAACTAGAGATTTTTTTTAAGATTAATAAGACACTAATATGAGACTGATTACAATTTATTAGGTTATTAAATTATAAATTAGTCTCTCTATTTTCGAGAAGCCAATTAACTGATATTTTTTATTTCAAAAGTTAATTATTTAATATTTTAATTAGTATTGATCATATTTAATTTAAGAATATATTATCTTTTTTTGTGAATCAATTCATATTTTTTACTTTTTTTAAAAAAATAAAAAATATTAAAAAAAAGAGAAAATAACTAAGTTACATGAAAATTTTATAGAAAGACTTGCTTTTTAAAATAAAAGAAATTAATCGTTTCTCAAAACCAAAAAGAATAATTTATAATTTACTTAGGATAGAGAAATAGAGACTGGGGGGCAGGAAAACAGCACCAGCCACATCACCAAGCAACAGCTCACTCATACCAGCATTGGGACTTTGTCACGTGAATAAAGGGGTTTTTCAGTTGGTCGTTCCATTCATGTTTGTTTTAAAAAAGGGTGTTTGATGTATCTCTGTTTAGGCCTCACTTAATTTCCGAATTCCTCCCTAGTATTTGATCTCTACACCTCCTAATAAAATTCCAAATTTTAATTGTTTGTTAATCATCCTCTTTGCTACCATGTCCCACCATCGTCATTGTCAAAATCACCATCATAACAACCGCTACAACCATTGTTACTATGCATTTTGATAGAAGAATGAAAAGACAAATCATTTTATGCGTGAACTAATCGATCACTAGTGTATTACTGTATTTTTTTAATTATATATTTTTGTTAATAAATAAAAAGTTTTATTTTGACCATATTAACATTTATAGAAGTTTTAGTTTTATCATATATTTTTGAATAAATTAGTAGAAGTTTTATCCTGCATAGCATCATCAGAATTTAAAAAAAAAAAAAAATCCAAAATTTTAAGACGAAAAACAAATAATTTCATAACTACAAGCAGAATTTATATTTTACACCAATGAAGTGGGCCTTTTATTTTTTTAATTTTTCAAAAAATATTCCTTCAATAAATTTTATACCAGTTATTAGCTGTTGCTCAGTATTCTACCGTTGCTCTGTCCCATTCGACCCTTTGTATTGTTCCTTTTCGAAAATTGAATTCATAGACAACTTCCAGCGAACGATTTATTAATTAACCATTAAAACTGTAGGCCATGCCAAGCAGGCAGCAGGGTTACAGACCATACGTTAATTTACGCTACTAAAATTGTTATGTTTAAAACATGATGTTACAATCAAGACAACGCATTTTATGGCAATTTCCTCTGAGCTCTCTGCTAATCTAAGCTCACAGATTTCAGTGGGCTCCATTTGGTGTTACAGACAAGATTCTTCTGAAATTAAAAATTGATTTGGGATCTCCTGGCCTCGTTAATCTTCCTGCGTGAACTTTAAATCATGTTAATTAAAACTACTCAGCACTAACACATAAAGTACTGGGTCTAACGCAATAACCAAGAAGAGTGATTTTGTGAAGAGGGAATTTATACTGGCATTGTTCAACCTTTGGCAAAAATAAAATAAAAGGCCTGTTTTATATCATTTTCATCCATTGAAACCACAGAGAAGAAGTGGTTGCATCTCATTTTCGTCCATTAAAGATCACTTTTTTTCTGTTCTGCCCTCCAAGTAAAAGAAATGGAGCAGCAGCCCATGTATTGATCTTTTCTTTTCATCGTGCCTTTTTACAGCTTACAACATCGTCTAGCAAATTAATATAGTCCCATGACATCTTTAAGATTGGAGGCTAGCTCTTACGGCTGTGTCGTGGGTCCTCTTTATGTCAATTTCAAAACTACTAGAGGTACCAGCCTGTTGAGGACATGTGTGATTTATCCAAAGCATGTCATGGACCAATTTCAAATTAGCATTGTCTGCGTCTGCTGTATTAATCATTTTTCTCCACTCAATATGTTATGAGGTGAACTTTCTGTAAGGATTTCTGCTTGATTAAGAGTTGTCATAATTTACTACGAAAAAAAACCTCATCACATGCCAATCATTTGACACTTAATGAGGTGGCAACAGGTTATTAGTACACAAAAATTGCAAGTGTATAAACTTCTCCACTTGATCCATACTGCTTTATTAGATAATTTCCTACACAATCTAGCCAGTGAAATTATGATTCTTCTATCTACTCTCCCTCTGTGTCCATATTGTTCAAGTTGTTCAAGCATAAAAGCAGAACAAACAACCTTCTTTAAGAAGTTCCTCTCTCTCTCTCTCTCTCTCTCAGCTCAAATGCAGATTCTCTAAACCACTAACTAGGCCACATACCCTTATCAACAACAAAAGATGAAGAAAATAGATATATTCTGTGCATCTCAAGCTTCAACAGCCATATGCATGAGCATGGATCAACCTTCTTCCTCATCCACCATCCAACTTGGTGGCCGAACCCTCGATCGCTACAACCCCATTATCAGAGACCAAAAAAGAACCCCAAGAACTCTCCCTTTAGCTCCTTGTACTTCTCAGCCAGCACCTATCAACCCTGTACCTTATCATCTACTTCATAAGAGCAAAAAAAGCAATTCAAAGAATAAAGCCAGTGATCAAAGCAGCAACAAGAAGTCGAACTCTACAAAACCAAAACCAAAACCAAAACCAAATGACCAAAAGACCAAGAAAATCTCTTTTAAGTCAACTGATATTGATGATGATAAGAAGAGTACTACTTATCTTGATGCCCCAAAAGATATTGTTAGAAGAAGCTGGGCAAAGCCTGGTGATTTTATTACCCCGCCTGGCTCGTCTAGATATCTTTTGGGTGACACAGCTTTCTTTGACGGGTTTACAGATAATGACCCAGTTTTAGCACAGCTAGTTCCAGTGGAATCCAACAGGGCTACTCAAGCTTTAAGTAACGATGAATCTACCGCTTCAAAACCATCTTCATCTTCGAATCCGAATCAGGTTTGCACTAAACTTTGGTTAAGATTATTATGTTTTAATTTATAAGATCAATAAGTAGTAAAATACTTAAATGTTTTAGTTATATTCTGAATGAATTGTGTTTCAGGTTGTGGTTTTGAGAGTGTCACTACACTGCAAAGGTTGTGAAGGAAAAGTGAGGAAACATCTATCCAGAATGGAAGGTATGCACATATGACTTTATGACTTGCCATCCAATTTTATCTTATCTGTCTCTTTTTCTCTCTCTTTCAGACGTTATTATTTCTCAGAAAGTGTCTCTATACCGTGTCTTCTTCCAGATAAACCTTTTAATTTATGTAGTTGGCAAAAAACAATTAGAGAAAGAGAGAGATCATTAACTTTGCATAACTTATTAGGAATGATTTTGTTTCAAAGAGATTTTATATGAGGTCATATACTAGTTAATGAACATATGGGGTCAAATTACTAGTCAAGGATCTTGCATCATGTTTTGATTTGGATTCCACGATTGATTATGGTTGTTAGAATGCTTACATCGGCAAATAATGATGGCTATTGGATCATTTGAATATGAATTTAATGAATCTTTTTTCCTAATTCATTGAAATTGAGTGTTTTAACTGACATGGGCATTGATCATTTGTACACAGGTGTGACATCTTTCAACATAGATTTTGCAGCGAAGAAGGTGACAGTTGTTGGAGATGTAACCCCATTAGGTGTCCTGGCGAGCGTGTCAAAGATAAAGAGTGCGCAATTCTGGACATCTACAACCCCAACTGCTGGCTCAAATAACACAGAAGCGATCAAGAAATAATATATTTACAAGGGTGTGTGAGCGAAAATTGGCAACTATGCTAAGCTAATTAAGTGTGATTGGATGCTTAATTTAGTGTAAATGCAGACTTAGCATGAGTAGCTGGACCCGAATCTTTGTTTCTTAGAAGTTAGTAAAGATCAAATTAAGTGGTCATTTGGTTCACTTTTCAAGTTATATTCTCGGACCCAATTTGCTCCTGTATGGCAAAAAAAAAAAAAAAAAAAAAGGTGGAGTTTTTAAAGCAATATTGGAATAAATTAAAAAGACTTTTCAGCTATGCTCATAAGCGTCGCCTTTTTTTTTTAAGGCAGTGGCCCATCTTAAAATCCAGTTCCCCACGATTTTGTTTCTATATGACTTACGCTTCCCGGTGACATATCTTCTTGCAATTGCCACAATTATTCCCTGAAAGTTGTCTCAAGAAGATATATTCTTTGCTAAATGCAAAAATTTTCTTTTTCACAATTTAATCCATGCTCGCACAACCAATTACTAGGCGCAGTTCGTAAGGGAAATTTTCAGACCAAACTGGCTAGCAATCATGAATGTATTTAGTTGTAGAATCCTGCAGGTATTATTATTATTATTATTATTTTATAGAAAGCCGTGATTTCATTTCATGGAAAATAGAATTACACAAATTGATATGTTCAGAAAGATACAAATTGACACATGTTCCTTGCTAAGCTATGATAAAACAACCCACATACTACAACCATGCCTACACAGAACCTCGTAACAACTCCGTACCAAAAGAACTCCTGAACCAAACTCACCATTCGTCTCTAAACTTGGCTCACTCTCCTACTTGAGAGAAGTATAAATGACATATATTAAACGAAAAACACTGCTCTACATGTTAAACTCTCGAAATAACGGGATTTCTGTCAATATAAGACATTCACTTAAGAATATCTTTAATTTGTAAAAACGTGTATCAGAAGTCATTATACAATAAGAAATAGGCTCATTTTCCTTCCATAGAAAGATAAATATACTCTCCATTTCATGCAAGTTGGTCCTTCTCACATCCATTATAAAAGGTTAACCCAACAAACACTAAAATAGTTAACAGATTCTGTTTTCTATACACTTCATAATACATTAAAATAAATACTGTGTATCTTTTTTGTATACAACAAATAACATGCTGCTAAACCTAATCAAATGATATATATTGAAAGATCTACTATTAAAACTAATCAAGCTAAGCATCTCTCTTTGTATATTAATTTAGTTATCGAAAAATCCTCTCAAACTTAAGAGGAGGGCTTTATTTTGCATGAATTCGTCATTGGATCCCAAAACAAGAACAAATCTCCACCATACGATCAATCAAGAAAGAATCACATCCAAATGTTCATACTATCCGTGAAATCATGACGTCTTCGCCAATGGTTGAGGAAATTTGCAATGAGTAAAGATATATTTAACAAAATAGATGTCAATAACGTGGTACTAACTTATACACTTCCAGAGTTTTAATTAAGTGTATGAGTTTTTACATATGTTTGTTTGTGACACATTCAGGTCGGTATTGTAGCATGGTTCATTAGTAAAGTGGAAAGTATATTTTATAATTTTTAACATTATTATTTTGATTGTAATCTTCCTTTTGGTTGTTAATTTTTTTTATTTAATTAGACAAATGTTATTAGAAAATTATTGCTCTAGAATTCTAGTTTTTTCAGGAATATTGTATAATTTTGGACATACTTTTTTTTAAATTGTAATCTTTCTTTAATTATTAAGTTTTCCTAGAATTTGTTATCTTTTATTCAATTAGGCAAGTGTTATTAAGAAATTAATGCCCTAGGTTTCTAGTTTTTCTATTTAAAGAATTGTATCAGTCTTTTTGTCAATTATAGAAAAATTTGATAAATAAAAATTGAGTTTTGTGAGTTTTTCTACAACTTTGTTATGATCTCTTTTTGAGGGCTTTTGAGCACGACTAAATTACCCCATATCGATACGCGAGTGGGATTGACCTGATAAAGTGTAGTTGTAGCAACCATCCTAGCTAGTGATACATATCAAAGGTTGTAGGCCATTTAAAAACCTGTGCGGGTTTAGGAGGCAACATCGATACATCTACAATAGAGGCATTAATCATTATTTTGAGCAGTTCGGTGATTTTCGCAAGGATTGAAGAAAATTCAGATGGCTTTATGTTAGATGCCAACAGATTTCGTGAGTACAATAGGTCTATTAGCAAAAAAGCTCGTAATCAGTCTATTTTTAGTCATGTTCTTATTTTTAAAGGTGAGTATGATAGATTTTATTGAGTCTATTAATTTCATTTGAGAATTGCTGTCACAACTTTTGACGGAGATCTAAGCGTTGAGAAATTTAGGCTCGCTAATTGTGATAGAGCGATCAAATAATTTAGATTGTCTAAGAAGAAGACAAGGTACTTGGTTGAGATCAAATTGAGAGAAAAAGCTTTCTTACAGTGGAAACAAGCCTAAAATACTTTGTTAGCAAAAGACAGAATGCCTATTAGAAGTTGGTTTCGTATGAGGCAAGAGTTAAGATATAGATTTATTATATTGATTGCAATGATGAATTCATGAACCTGCCTTTGGGGCTAACATTTATGAAGATGTAGTCAAATTTTTTGAGACGATTGAATGTATGACTATCTAAAAGCCTTTCATAATTAATGAACCTAATAATGATCATGAAGTTGAGATTTTTGATGTCATCAATACTTTGGGGCAACCTGAAGAAAAACAGGTAAGTAATGATGATTTCTTTCATGTTGATCCTCAAATTAATATGCTTGATGTAGGTGAGCATTCAGACCAAACTTGCAAAATAAAAGACATCTGCGATCTTGGTTTCATATGAGGCAATAGTTAAGATATGGATTTATTATGTTGGATTGCAATGATGAATTTATGAAGTGCAGAGAGCCTACTTTTGGAGTTAAAATATGTGAAGATCGATCCTTCTATAAAGGATGTAGTCAAATTTCTTGAGTCAATTGAATGTATGGCTATCCAGAAGACTTTCAGAATTAAAGACCATAATAATGATCTTGAAGTTCAGATTTTGGATGTCAGCAATACTTTGGTTCAATATGAAGAAAAATAAGTAACTAATGATGATTTATTCATATTGATCCTCAAATTAACATGCTGGATGTAGGGGAGCATTCAGACCAAACTTGTAAAATAGAAGACATGTGATCTTGGTTTCGTACGAGGCAAGAGTTAAGATATAGGTTTATTCTATTGGATTGCAAAGATGAATTTATGAAGTATAGAGAGCCTACCGTTGGAGTTAACATACATGAAGATTCCTCTATAAAGGATGTAGTCAAATTTCTTGAGCCAATTGCATGTATGGCTATCCAGAAGCCTTTCAAAATTAAAGATCCTAACGATAATGAAATTGAGATTTTGGATGTCAGTCATACTTTGGTGCAATCTGAAGAAACATAGGTAATTAATGATGATTTCTTTATATTGATCGTCAAATTAACATGTTTCATAGAGGTGAGTATTTGGATAAAACTTTTAAAATAGAAGACGACATGCGATCTTTGTAAAGTTGGGAAGCATACTAAAGAAGATTTTAGTATAAGAAAGAAGTAATCTGAGTCGTATTCCTAAAGTTAATTCCATGGATCAAGAAGCTAAAAGTTCACCATGTCTTTTGTGCTTAAGTATGTTGATTTTATTAGATTTAACAAGTTTGTTTCAAATGCAAAAATTCCGTGTAATTATGTGATTGGCGAGATTAGATTTTATGTATTTTTAGCAAGCTATTATGAAAAGAATATGTTCATATTGCTATATTCTAAATATATATTCCTTTGGGATGGAAGAGCCTAACATAAGGGCAAGTTTTTCTCAATTTGTGATAGTAAACTCGAGGGCAAATTTTCTCAAGTGGGAGAGCCTAACATGAGGGAGCATGTTAATTTCATAATTTTTAGCATAATTATTTTTATAGTAATTTTCTTTAATTGCTAAGATTTTTTTTTTCTGAATTTGTTTTCTTTTACTTAATTAGGCAAGTGTTATTAGAAAATTAGTGTTTTGTGAGTTTTTTTTTTATACTTGTCTTGATTACTCGAACCCTGTCCGAAAAATGTGAAAAAATAGTTGGATAGTAGTCTATAAGGCAAGCCAACTTCTAGACTCAAATTTCTATAAATCAACTTTATTGTTTTATGCACTTAACTACCTATCCTAAAGGGCTTTTTTTTTTTCTCTTTAATGTAAAACTAAATTAAACAAATAAAAATCACTTGTAAATCTTGAGTGAAGCTTGCAATTTGCCTAGAGAGGTTGGGTTGCAAGTTGCAAGGATTATTATTCACAACAATAATTGTCCTAAACTCGATAATTTAAACTTTCTAAAATTATTCATAATAAAAACGCATGTTTAATCTATAAATTTTGAAATCAAGCAATGAGTAAACTAGAAAGATAAAGTTACAAACTTAACAATGTACAAAGTTTAAACAAAAACTTACACTTATTGATGATGGAGAATGCTTACATATTAAGACTTTTTTCTCTAGATATGATGCTAAAACTCAATAGAAATTCAGTTTTTGAGGATCACAAACATGAGTTGGGGATACGAGATGAAATCAATGAGCTAGAATATTAGCTTACAAACTATGATTCTATTTTGCAAGTTGCAAGGATGATTATTCACGACAATAATTATCCTAAACTCGATAATTTAAACTTTCTAAAATTATTTATAATAAAAACACATGTTTAATCTATAAATTTTGAAATCAAGCAATGTGTAAACTAGAAAGATAAAGTTACAAACTTAACAATGTACAAAGTTTAAACAAAAACTTACACTTATTGATGATGGAGAATGCTTACATATTAAGACTTTTTCTCTAGATATGATGTTAAAACTCAATAGAAATTCAGTTTTTGAGGATCACAAATATGAGTTGGGGATACGAGATGAAATCAATGAGCTAGAATATTAGCTTACAAACTATGATTCTATTTTGCAAGTTGCAAGGATGATTATTCAAAACAATAATTATCCTAAACCGATAATTTAAACTTTCTAAAATTATTCATAATAAAAACACATGTTTAATCTATAAATTTTGAAATCAAGCAATGTGTAAACTAGAAAGATAAAGTTACAAACTTAACAATGTACAAAGTTTAAACAAAAACTTAAATTTATTGATGATGGAGAATGTTTACATATTAAGACTTTTTCTCTAGATATGATGCTAAAACTCAATAGAAATTTAGTTTTTAAGGATCACAAACATAAGTTAGGGATACCAGATGAAATCAATGAGCTAGAATATCAACTTACAAATTATGATTCCATTTTGATTACTGTCTAGAATTATTACCTACAAATCACTACCTATAAAGTATAGTCAAACAAGCCTCGGATATGTTGAAACTTACAAGTGTTCTTGAGTTTGATTGTTTGTGTATTGTTCATGTGTTTTTTCTTTCCATACAACTTGTATTTACAGAGGTTTTGATTCTCCATGATTTTTCCAATGTCCCACATTCTTCTACACCTTTTCACATTGTCTAGCAATGCTCCATGTTTTTTTCGCAATTTCTCATGCTGTTTTGCAAGGCTGCACATTCTTTTGTAATTGTTGTGATCATGGCCCATGAATGCTAACTCGTATTTTTACAATTCATTAGCATCAACTTCTTTTCCAATTATTAGGAAATAATTGTTCATGTTATCTTCTTATAACAGTTTTGTTTAATCAAAAAGTCTATAATTATTAAGTATATTATAGAAGCCGCAATCTAAAGCAAACCTCGTCTCCCCTCTCTCTCTCTCTCACTGAGCTAATTGCTTAAGCTTCTGCTGTGACGTCAGGACCTTTTTTATTTGGCAAAACCATCAATAAACTCTTCTAATTAAGTGGTTTCCGATTACTCTGCCTTCTCCTTCCTAATTCCTCCCTTCGGAGTCGAAAGATTGCCCCAACATCCATATATATATATATAGACACACCCAAATACATCAAATTAATGTCTGTTGTATCATGAGGCTGTGAGCGATAGAGTGAGCCGGTCTTGTTCTTTTTCTTTTTTCTTTTTTCAAAAATTGAAAATGTTATATCATTTTAGTTATTATTATTATTATTATTTTGAAAACTTAGTTTGGTTACTTAATTATATCTACTTCTTTGATTATTTTGATGGTTTCTTATTGCTAGATAGTAATATATTAGCCTTTGAACCTTTTTTTTTAATTATTGTAGGTTATCGTGGGACTAACTAGTAATTACGAGCTACATGCATGATCTTATGTATAGGAAGAAAATATATAGCATAAAAAAAATTCTTGTTGTCTCTACGTATTATTCACAGTCAAAATTTATAAAAAGAATTAAGATAGAAGCAATTTTAAAAAATAGAGACACACTCAGTAAACTAAACAAAAAGGCTTCTCCACAGGTCGAGGAGAAGGTCCAAATTAAAGGAAAACTCCTATGTAGTAAACTCAATATCAAATTGTCCCTTGGGATCTAATTGTTTACAAAGACTTAAATAAGTAAGATAGAGAACTCGATCTTTGGCACCTGTTCTATGATTCTTGGTGTGCTTGCAAAAATATTTCAATACCTTTAGTTGGCAACACCCAAGCATCTGTCCCAAAAGCAAAAACAACCAATTAATGGACTTTTTCTTTGACATAATTGGCTTCACGCAGTTTCTTTGATGGCAAAAATTGCAATCAGGAAGGGTTGGATTCAGCCAAACTGATGGCGCTCGATCATACATGGTGCTCTTGTTTTCGGAAATAAAAGATGCCACTTCCATGAATTTTTGCTGCAAATCATATTCAATCTCATGCTGTTTTTCGCATTTTTTACACTGGACTAGACCAGAAATAACGTTTAGTCCATTGCCTAGCAGATATTCAAGGCTATGGACGGTGGCACGTCTAGAAGTAGACCATGGATATGGTGCGGGTACGGTCTCACTTTTTCCTTTCCTTAAAATCTGAGAGGAAGATTTACGGATGTGAGAACGCACTTGCCCAATGACAGTGTTTTGATGAGATGGGCCAGTAGGAGGCGGCGTATGGAGAATAGGTGGCGGCGATGGTGATGGTGGAGGTGGTGCCTGTAGTGAAAACAACTGCGATGGAAGCGTTGATGGTTGACCTAAAATAAGTGGTGGTGATGATTGCGATAATGCCTTTGGCAGTGACCTAGATCCAGTTGAGAGCGAGAGCTTAAGCAACTCTTCATCATCTTCACTGATTCGTTGTTCTGTTAGACGTGAAAAGGTTTTCTCCATCTACACAAAATATATAGCAAAAAATCTTTTAGTGAAAATGAAAGGCAGACAAAAGAGATGCAAGAATTTGTCAAGAAAATAAATTTGACGGCAGACAAGAAACTGTTGAGGATAATTTGCAGAAAAACATATATATATATATATATATATATATAAGAGAAGACAAGTTGAACAAGGTAAGACAAAAATGTTGTTTTTGAAATAAAATTCTAATGGCATTAGAATTCTATTTGAAAAATTTAGCTACATCTTATTTAAAACTTGAAGTAACAGTTAGAATAATACCTGATTTAGGAATTATTTTTTGATCTTTTAAACTAAACGAGTTTCCAGCTAATTTTTGTATTTATCATGTCAAATTCCAGCTGTAAATCTTCTGTGCAAAAATCTTTCAACTCATTCTGTGTCGAAACTAATACATCCTAGAGTAATATTGCTACTATGTATGACTTTTCTTGGAATTTACTCTTAATTTAGCAGAGGCAGCAACTATAGATTGATCCCCTATTTATGGTTTTGCGAAGAATCAATACAAAAAAATAGACAATTAGTACATTTCATCCCTAATTAACCATTAAATAGTAACCAAATAGCAATGGAAATGAAAATGCAAAAATTTGCAACGGATTAACAATGAAAAGGTAGCAATGGAAAAAATTCTATGGCTAAAGAGCACAACAAAAATCCATGCTAATTTTAGCGATAGAATTACTGACAGATTATTGAAAGAAATTAGCAACAGAATATAAATTCTCTCTCTAAAAAACATCATTATCTTAGCGACGGATTATATTTGTCACCGCCATCTCTAATTTATTCCATAGCCAATCGTCCAAAATTTCTGAAAAATTTTTAAAAATTAGATTCTCGTTTAAAATTCAAATTAGCAATGGATACTTATGTCTATTGCTAATTAGCGACGGATCAACGACGAAATCGTATTCATCGCTAATCCTAAATCCCTATAAACCGATGGCCCTTTTCTTTTCCCTCCTAATTTTCCCCTTTCCCCTCTCCTCTTCCTCTCCTCCTCTCCTGCTACCACCACCAGCATCCCCAACCACCGCCCTATGCTACCCCACTCCCTCTCTAGCCCACTTAACCCAACAAGGTGCCCCTCTCTAACCAAAAACCATTGGGATAGTCTCTTCTCTCCCTCTCCTTTGGTTAGTTCTCTCTATCTCTCTCTCTCTCTCTTATTTTTTTTCTTTTGTTAATTAGATTAAATTTGTTAGTGTTAGGTTAATTTTTATACAATTGTTGGGGTAATTTGGATAAATTTGTTGATTAATTGTTAGGTTAATTTTGATTAATTATTAGGTTAAAATTTTGTTAATTTGTTATTTTTTTTATAGTCTTTGTTAGTTGTTAGTTTAATTTTGTTAATTTTTTAGTTGTTATTTTAAAATTTAATTAACCTTTGAATTAGGATTAATGTAATTAGTTAGATTAATTTAATTAAGTTGTTAGGGTCAATTTAAATATGGTTATTTTTATTGATTGATTTATTGATTTTTACTATTAATTATAGGCCAATTAGTTAATTAATTGATATTTAAAATTTAATTACCGTTTGAATTAAATTAAAGCCATGACATTGAAAAAGCAACAAGAAACAAACTTTCCGTCGGACCGAAAGCCATTTATAGATCTTAAAGCTCCATTAATTTATTTTATATGTAACTCTAGTGCATGGTGCACAACCTACTCGTATTCAAAGATATATATTATTTCTAAAATAGAATAAAATACATATCGAAAATAATACACCATAAACAATTACATATTTCCACTAATAATTTATTAAGCTTTTTTTATTCTTATAATTTCATAGTAATAATCTAGCAATTAATGCATTATTTGTGTATCCCAATTTCAAGAAAATAAAATTAGCAAGGCACAAGCATTTTTTTTTAATAATGTTACACTTGAAATCTTTTAAGCCGGCCATGCCTGGTTACTATAACATAATTGATGATCTAGACCTTTATATAAAAATATTTGATCCTGATTAGCGTATTAATAAACAAGAACTAGAATGCTGATGTTGGGCTAAAACCACAGTCCATGTCCAAAGTTAAATGTGGGCTTCACATAATTGTCCTATTACTTTTATAAAAATAATTCTTTTACCTTAATTTAATCAATCATTAATTAAAAATAAAAATCCTAAAATATACTCAAAAACTTACATTTGCAAAATTCATTTAATTATTAAAATAAATAACCTTGGATTAAGCTAAACTAATTTGTGTCTTTAATTTTTCTCAAATTAACTACTAATTTTTGAAATTATTTAAAATATTCATTATATATAAGAAATAATCAAATTGGCCAAATCTATTAAATTCGTAAATTTTTCTATTTGGGGCCATTGACAAGCGATGAGATGGTCATTTCATCGATCTATGTGCCCAAGCATACAATGGTAAATATTTTTAATTTTTAAATTTTATATATGCAAATATAATCTAAGAAATTATTTAATATTTTAACATTATAATTACTTTAATTACATAAGAGCGTATTGACGATCTCATAGGAAGCTATTGCGAAGCAACGGACGAAAGAATCCTGCGAGCCACATATGGACAAGAACACCATATACATCGAGGTTGTAGGAGAGAAGAAGAAGAGGTTATATGGTGGAGGCACACAAGCATCGCATTATCTAACTCGGTCGGGTGGCATCAATTCAACCCTCGTGTAGTCACATTACACCGACGACATTCCTCGTGAGGAGATTCGAAGGTGTACGAGGAGGTGATGTAGTGGATGCAATCCAAACAAGACGAGCTGAAAAACATTATCACGCAATAACAGAGTACCATATAGGGGTTGCAATCTCGGCATGAGTCGCTTGCCTCAATATTAAATAAGTCGAGCGGATGTTCGGGTTGCCTACAAATCCGCCCACTAGAATGGACTCCACCATCCCTCCCACCGAATCCTAGGAGGAGGAGAGGGGATTACATGATCGGGATGACAATCGGGAGTGACATTTCATCTTTTTCTTTTTTTCTTACATACTAACAAATATTTTTTAATATTAATTTAAATTTAATTTACGATATTTAAATTTTAATAATACGTTGTTTGTTCTAATTGTTAGTTACCACCAAGAATATCTCAAATATAAAAACTAACAAAAAATAAATTTATCAATGTTTTTTAAAAATAGTAAACTTAGCGACGGATTAGCGTTGGAATTTTTGTATTTAGCAATGGAAATTGTGATGAAACAGCCATGCATTATTTGGTGTGAAGATGTTTTCGATAGCAATGGGTTATGAAGATTTAACGATGGAAAAACCGTCGCTACATTAGCAACATATTCCGTTCGTCCATCGCTACGGTTAATGACGTATTTTTTGTTTGTCACAAATCCATTGCTAAAGTCTTTTAGCGATGGAGTTTTCTCGTCACTAAGTGTTGTTTTCTTGTAGTGAATATTACTCTAGATGGAACATATATATATGTTATGTTTACAACAAATGAAATATTTTTGGATATATTTTGGGATCAACAAAAACTTAATGCTCCATTCTTTAAACTAGATCTATGCGGAATGACGTCTAATTTTCAATCAATTTTAAAATTAACTAATTTAAGTCCCCAACAATACATATGTTTAGTGTCAACAAAGTAGAGAAATGATAGATTAAGTCAAAAATATTTTTTTATCGAAAAAATTAATAAATATCAGCATATTTTAATATGAAAATTATTATTATTATTTATTAAAGCATGAGAACCACTCATAATGCAATTAATTAGCAGTTTAGTTGGTGGGAAAAAAATTTCTAAGAGAAACGTGCTGAAATTCGTAAGTACTGGCCAAAAAAAGAAGAAGGTTAATTTGTTGTTCGTGTCCTATAAATGTTGAGAATGGAGTTGAAATCGGGGGCATTTGGTTTTTGATAAGGGTGAGCAAACGGTTAAACGGTTCGGTTTTGTACTATTCGAGTTCGGTTTTCGGTTAACCGAATCAAGGAAAATAAAAATCAAAACCGAACCAAAATAAATTCGGTTTGTAACCAAATTATTTCGGTTCGGTTTCAAAATATTTCGGTTTTAACCGAAATGTTTTACTGAAAAAAAAATTCTAGACCATTGTTTCATTATCCGTCCTAAGCCACCATCATTTTCACCATTTACTAAAAAAAAAAAAAAAAAAAAAAAAAAAAAAAAAAAAAAAAAAAACAAAGCCCTTACATAGGAAATATCTTTTGTAGCTATCTAATCACAAGTTGACACACTCGAATGTCCTAAATGAGAGAAGAAAAAAATATAGTTGTCTTCCTTCTTTTGCTTATTCTAAACTCATCAAGCACTCGACAACATCCTAATTCTTGATTTGACCTCTATGATCTCTTTGCTTATCTTGCTAAAAAGCCATTGAGAATGAACCACAGAAACAAAATTTTAGACCGAATTAGTCACCGTTGAAGATTATAATTTTCCAACATCAATCACTATCATAACAAGATATATAAAGCAAGGTAAAGGTTACCAATATGTATAACATCCCTAATAATTTTACAATCATAATTCCCACTAAAAAATGTAGTCCAAAAGATTTTCATTAGCAATTTTGTGCAAGTAGAAAAGAAATTAAAACAGACTTTCTTTCGGTTTGTAAAATTTAAGCTCACAGAGACCTAAAACCATCTTGCAATAGTAAGTTAATTTCATTTGATTGTCTTGCAAAGAAACAACTAAACTTGTAAAAGAAAATTGATTGCAGCTTAGTCATCAACTTTATTTAATTTTTTCAATTGATAGTTGACCAAATTAAGAATCTTAGAATTCATGAATGCCTCCTCCGACTCGATGAAGTGATGATGAAGGAGAATCGGAGAAGATGGAGCGAAGGATAGGGAGCTAGGGAGGTGCCGCTAAAAATTGATTTTGATTTAGTGAAGTTAGCCAATTAGGGTTAAAAAAAAAAAAAAAATTTTGCTTTTAATTTTTTCGGTTTTCGGTGAAAACCGATTTTT